CATGAGTCAACGTATTTATTTATTTATTTATTTATTTGATTTATATCTTGCCCATCTGGTATATTCTACCACTCTGGGCGGCTACTTCCTGACACTTCCTATCAAGTTCTCAAACTGCCTTCTTTGTGCCTCTGAAGAGGGAGTCACCTAATACCACCACACATCTCCTCCTCTTCCTCTACAGCCATGCCTTGCACTTTGTGTTGCCCGAAGGCCATCAGCAATTCAGAATCAGTGTTCATTAAAAGGGCTTGTGATTGATCTACTTATTCTAGTGGTTCAGAATCACTGCCTATGGTGAGGGTCTTATCATAATTGTGCAGCTTCTTATATCATGCTTATTGATAGGCATGCTTCTATGTGTTACATCCTCTAAGTACTTCACATTCTTCTTCCTCCCTAGAGGCATTTAGTGTTTGTTCCTCTCCCAGGATAGTCTATTGAACTCTGAATTAGAAACGCTCTATCCAGATATTTCAGTTTCCTTGATGAGCCGGAGAATGAAGAAGAATAGAACAAAGTCTGAAGCAAAGCATCCAGTTGACATTTGCTCCAGGTGTAGCGTCTTATATTCTCAGGCAGAGATACAAATATGCCAGAAATGTTGCATTAAAGCAACAGCTGCTTCTTCAGTGACCATGTCTTGTGCCCTACATAGTTGTCTTTATCTCCTTAAACTTCTCTTCTAAACATTCCAGCAAAATATGTTCTTATTTTGTCCCTGAGCCCTTCCTCATCCAAGTAAATTGCATCTGGGCTAGTCCACTATCATCTCTTCCAAGTAAAAACAAACAAATGTTTTATTTAAACTGATTTACTCTTGATCACTCCTATGTGCCAATTTCTCTTTAAAAAAATCCCAACAGGATTCATATTCACTCTAGTCTGTCAGAGCAGAAACAGCAAAGAGAAACAATTCTTTGTTGTTTCTGGTCTAAGAGTAAAAAGTTGCATTTGGCATGTGCTTTTTGTACATATATCTAAACATACAACTACACAGCAGAAAAAATGTGAATGGATTGATTGTGAAGTCATGCTTGGGAAAGTCAGGTTTCCCTGAGTGAATTTGCATCAGATGACCACCTAGGTCAAATCAACAGAGACAAGGATGGAAATCAGCCTTGTTTGCAGCTTGTTAACCATTTAGAATATATTTTCCACACACTTGCTACCGGCGTCTCCTTCCCTTCCCTTCAATTCTCTCTCTTTAAAGCCTTGCTGGCCTAGCACCAGGCCTGCTGTCTGACCAAAGGCATGTGTGGGAGATCAACAGAGAAGGAGGAGGATATTTTCACTTCACATTTGTTTGCTGCTTCCTTATTTTTTTTCCTTTGCTTCGTCAACTGGCCTAGTGCTAGGCCAACAAGCCTTTGAAAGAAGTAATGGAAGAGAAGAGAATCTGACCCAGACACCACATATGAGATTATTCAAATAGCAGCAACATTCCCCTTTGTCCTGCTTCTCTCACTGCTGCTGGAGCTGGTTGGAATACAATGGCTTAGATCACTGGTTCTTAACCTTGGGTTACTCAGGAGTTTTGGACTGCAACTCCCAGAAGCCTTCACCACCAGCTGTCCTGACTGGGGTTTCTGGGAGTTGCAGTTCAAAAGCATCCGAGTAACAAAGGTTAAGAACCACTGGCTTAGATTAGAATGCAGCAGCTACAAAGTACAAACCCTTCCAAACTGATATAAATGATCACACTGAACTGATGCAAATAGGTCCACTGTCAAAAAAAGTAGAAGCCCCAGCAGTAGAAGAAAAATATGGATGGAGAGGGAGAGTCAGGGCTGAATCACATTGGTGTTTATGTCATGTGGTCAAAGGGGAGGAAATGGGAATCAGACCATCCCAATCCCATAGCATTTCCTAAATTTTACATCAATACAGTCACATCCTAAGACTTACTAGTCTTAATGTGCCACTGTATTTTGTTGCCTTCTCTTCTAAGTGCCCCACAGCTGAAGCTTTGGCCTTAAAAATGCTGCTCATTGCTTTCAAGAGAAACAAGGTGACAATTTTTTGTGGATTGGGAAATCCAAGGTATACTCTCCTATAAATAAGTGTCTTCATTGTAAAGCAGGCCTTCCTGAAAAGCATACAAAAATGTAACTGCCTAGAGCAGGGCGAGGGATAGATTTGGAATCTTAGTTGCATGTCACACTATAAAGAACAATTTATCAGATTTTGAGCTGTCAGGCAGTGACATTATAAAGAATAACACAAAATGAGTAATGTTTCCAGAAACCCAGCTCCTCCTTTAATTATGAGCCTCTTCCTTTCAGCAAAGAAAGACAGAAGATGCAGAAACACCAATTTCATGCACTTGTGCCTGAATAATGTCTCTGTGCTGCCTTTTCCAGATGGCAACCTTTCCTACTGCAAGAACTAATGATGTGGGCATATTTAGGGAAAAACCAATAACAGTCTTTAACCTTCAACAGCAAAAAGCATGTTGTACAAATTGTTCCTTGGGATGCATTAACAAATATCAATTACTTTGCTCACCGATGTGTAATCAGCTGAAATAATCAAAATTAATTTTAAAAAATAATTAAACAGACCCCAAGGCAAATAGTTGGTGCCAGCGCTGTATGGTACCATGGACTCCCAGCACACCTGGAAGGTTGCGGCTCAGCCTACATCTAACAAAAGGACAAGCAGTGAGCCTACTTGGCAACTGTTTGCCATACCTCTCATGGCTGGAGGGGAAAACATTTATGTTGATAATAACAAATACATTCAACATGGTTGCTTTTAAAAAAAAACCCTACTAGATTAAGACTATTTCACATTCCACAAAGTCAGAACACTGGAAAATAAAACTGATGCCTTAACAGATGTACCCTGTGATCAGTAAAGATGTTCTACAATGTCACCAATTGTATTTGATTACCCTCCATGCACTCCTCAGATGGGCAAAGGTGTTCCACATTGTCCTGGTCCCACAAGTAACGAACAGGAAGGGCTTATCACTCATAGGAAGATTCAGTTTACCAGCACATTTTGTTAGACAAGTCAAAACAAGGACAGTGTGGGACATCTTTGCTGATTCCGGGCATGCCATACTCACATCTGAATTTTAGCCTTAAAGACCAAGGACCACCATGGCTCTATGCTGTTGCTTCCTTCTTCTCTTCCCTTCCCTTCCAGGTACATGAAATATCTCCCTCCTCCCCATCATAAAGTAATTCAGACCAAAAATTAACTCCTCACTCAGATTATAGGCACCTTTCTGGCACCATAATCTTCACCCTAATAAAGTGAAGTTTTCTTTCTTTCTTTGGAAAGTTTCCCTGCTTTTTAGAGAAGAAATGACAACAAAAACTATCTTCACTGAACAACTTAATAGAAGAGAAAAACATTTGAAAAGCCACTGAATATATTAAAAAAGGAAATAGCCAACAGCAACCTAACACTTTGGGTTCACAAACCTCTCTTAAACAGTTGTGAAACAACGTTTCACAAGTGTTGTGAGAAGTCAATACTGTACTTGAAACAAAAGAGCAATAATAAATTCAGGAAACCAACTTATGTAGAACAGGAGTGGGCAACCTTTTTCTGTCAAATGACATTCCCTTGTCAGGTATTCTGTTCAGGAGGCAATGGGTGAAGCCGAACCCAGCAATAACAAGCATTGTGTAAGACTAGGGCCAAAAAGTTGTTGGGACCCTCACCCCTCTTATTTTCTGCCATCTCCTTTTCTGTCTGTCTGTCTTTCTCCCTAGCTAGCATTCTGCTGGAGAAGGGAGAGATCCCTCTTTCTAGGTCCAAACTGATGGCTTGCAAAGCCTTTTGAAATTAGAGAGGGTCCCATTAAGGTCCTATGACATCATCTGCATCATCAACCCACCGTTCCATCAGAAAATAGTGTTCAAGGTGGTTTACTGTCTTAATGTCTTTGTGATCACAATTTAAAAGACAACAGGGAATATGGCTGTAGATTACTAAAACTAAAGGACAGTTTTAACCTTTTTTTCTGTAGCCTCGTGGTATCTGAAGCTGCAAAATAATTTTGCAAAACAATACAATAACACTAATTTTAAAACTAAGGATAAAGGTAAAGGTAAAGGTTCCCCTTGACAATTTTTGTCCAGTCGTGTTCGACTCTAGGGGGCGGTGCTCATCCCCGTTTCCAAGCCATAGAGCCAGTGTTTTGTCCGAAGACAATATTCCGTGGTCACATGGCCAGTGCGACTTAGACACGGAACGCTGTTACCTTCCCACCAAGGTGGTCCCTATTTATCTACTTGCATTTGCATGCTTTTGAACCACTAGGTTGGCGGGAGCTGGGACAAGTGACGGGCACTCACTCCGTTGTGTGGAATCGATATTACGACTGCTGGTCTTCTGACCCTGCAGCACAGAGGCTTCTGCAATTTAACCCACAGCACCACCACGTCCCATAAAACTAAGGATAGTAAACTATAATTATCAATACAGGTATGTACATTAGCCCAGCCTTTTTATCCTGTTTCATGAGTCAAAACCTTGCTTACCTCTTCAACAATAATCTGCCAGTCAAGGACAGTTACCCAAGACAAGCACGTCAACAGATGCAGGAGATGGCAAAGCTAATTCCTTGATTGACAAGAAAAGTGGGAGGCTGACAGTATGGCAGTGTGTGAGTGGACAGGCTGGTTCCAAGGGCTGGATCCACATTAGGTGCACCTGAGATGGGGGTATTTGTTTAAAAATACAAATATCCCTATCTCTTATGAAAAAAATTCATACTGTATATACAGGCATTCAGCTGATTGTGGGAATATATCTACAGTATGTACATGCTGCACATAGGTCCTAGAATCCTACTTGATCCACAGTAAAGATGATGTACATATCTGTATCTGGGTTGCATGAATTCACTGATAGAGCAGGATTTTTAATACAAAATTCCATACCCTTTCAGTTTAATTTTCATGAGCCTTCTGAGATTCCCTTTTAAGAAATGTCTGTTCAAAGCATGAAGATTATGCAAGTTATCTGAAGATGCAAGTTACCTTAGCTTTGGTTCCCATCTGCTTTGTATTCTTGCTAAATGTCGTTTTTGCTGCTGAAGATAAGCTTCCACTCCAAGAAATTATCTTCCTGGAATACTGTCCTTGAACACTCTTTGGAGAATTTTTCTTTTCTGAAGCTAAAGACCAGAAGAGGAGGGAAACACAATGAAATAAATCAGGGCAGATCAAGGATCTGAAGAACATGGCTGAGATTTCAGCATGGAATGAGAATTTTCAATTTAGCCGCTCCAGATCTAAAAACTGAATTAGAAGGTGTTTTTTCTTCACAGAGAATGATAATTCTGCAAGAGAGCTGGACAGCAACAGATGGGGATAGAGTGGCTCTTAGGGGTGTGACAACCCCAGACCTACTGGGATATGCCACAGTTTCACTAAGCTGCCACCAACCATTCCCTGTAAGGAGTCACACAGACCAGGAATGGATTTTTAACAAACAAAGGAATAAGGTTTATTTAAATAACACACAGGGAAAATAAAATGATCAAGTGAACAAGATACAGTAACGTGGCTTAGTCTCAATCATACATACACCAGTTTGGTTCACACAGAACACCTTTAAATAAAGCACAGACCCTGAACCTATCAGTTCTGGATACCCATACAGACACCTGAACCTATCAGGTAGGTACTGACTGACACACAGTAGTACCCTGTCTGACACACAGACTCCCACACCAGCTTCTTCTCCCCAGCTTCGCCCTTCTCAGCTTCTGACTTCTCTTCACACAAGCTCCACATATATATACAGTACAGCCCCTCCTCCTGATGTCCCGCCTTCCACTCCCCATAGGATGGAACTTTCCCTCCAACCCATGACAGACAGGTAACATCAGTGCTGTATGTAACAAGGGGTACTGGGTTCGATTCCCCGGTCAGCTCTGGAAACTCACCTAAAATCTATCTCAAGTTGATTTTACACAGTTGCAGACTCCATTTTGGAACTTAGGGTGCAAATCAACAGGGAGATAGCTTGTATTTTGGACCACTTGTGTCACTGTCCAGTGCAAGCTATATCCTAGTGATCACATGATACATGAGAGATTGCAAACCAGCCCACCCCTGATCCATGCCCAAACTGGATCTTTGGTGGGAGGTGTGGATCTTTTAAGTTTCTATTATTAGGCTTTAAAAAAAATTGAGGTCCAGCAGCATGACTTCTCTTTTTGGAAGCTGGGCTGGAGCAATTCCTATGTGAACAGAAAGGTCACTTTAAGGGAGGTCCCTCTCAGCAAAGCAACACTTTCTGGGGTGGTCAATCCAATCCTTTCTTATTGCCTGATGGCACCTGCATTTTAGACAAGAGAGCCTGATCTCAGCATCTGGCCAAGATAATTTTGAGGGGTTTGTTTCTTCTGCACTCCTCCAGTTCTATAATAGCAACCTGATGAAGAGTCCTGCAAGACTCAAAAGCTTGCCTGTTTGTGAAATTGTAATGGCCTAATAAATGCATCGCTCATCCATGACTCTGGACTATATTTACTGGTGTTCTTCTAGGTGTGGACTGACATATCTTAATTAAAGTTAGAAGAATGTCTCAAAACAGAATAAACTCCAGGGGAAATAGGGAGTCAGTTCTAGTATCAAGTTTGATGCTGGCTGTGTAATATTCACTGTGATTAGTTAATACATAAAGTGAACAAATTGGCAGGAGATGGTGGCTGCAGTGGTACCAGCATCAGGACCAGGGACCAGAAGTGGCACTGGTGGTGATGTTTGAGGTGGTGAGCAAACTGGACAATATCTCTAGTATGTTACAAGAGTACTGGGTAATAATGACAGGATTGAGGTAGTTCATCATTCTGCAACTAATACCTTCCTGGCTCCACACAACTGCTTTATACTCCCTCTGCGTTGGGGAGACCTCTGCATTTTTCCGGACTGAGAAGGAGCCACAAAGCTTCAAGTCTCAACCCAACATGTTCTTGGCAAAGATATGTGACTTTGTGCACAGCCTTGCTAGCAGGAAGACAACAATGAAAATGTGTCATCTGAAGTAACTTGAGTAAGTATGTAATTTTCACAGTGTGGCCATGCCAACAGTCCACTGGCAGAAGAATTCTGGTTCCTGAGGCTGGCCAGCAACCAGGCACACAGAGGTTTGCCAGTAGTGAAAGATGGTTATATCAATTTCCTTGCATTTCGTTTCCAGAATCAGAGAGCCAGATTTAGGTTGCCTAAGAAAAGAGAGGCCACTTTTCTGGCTATCCGTGGTCGTTAGCCCTCATATATCCCAACTGTCACCAAAAGTCAGTTTGTGAAGTTACTTCTGTTAAATGCATTGCATAATTCAAGAACAGATGTACCTAAAAAGTGGTGCCAAGCCTCTTCCACAATCTCTTTCCACACAGGAGTCATGTCTACTATCTTCCCTTTTTCATCTCCATCTCCCATCTGTACAGAGAGAGAGATTTTGTATGCATCCTCCAAAATTTTTCCCTTCTGAGACAGCAGCTGTATCCAGATTTCTTCAATTGCTTTTTGGATCTTTTGCTGAACTGAGCAGAAAGAAAGAAAAATAAAATTTAAGGTGAGCGGGTGACACTGGCAAGAAGGGTGCATGACATTTGTAGAAATAGGACTTGAGGACAGTATCATAATTCCACTATCATCCAGTTAGATAAGTGCATGACTAGGCTTTTTGTACATGTCAAACATAAGGATCAAATTTTTGTTTCTTTTTTCTGAGTACACTTGAGTCTCCAGCTCATTATCTTTTTATGCCAATTGTGCAATGGGGTATCCACTACCACTTATGCACTCGTATACCCCATTGTTGGGGTATATGAGTGCATATGCAACCTCTGGCTTGCATAACTATAAACTGGAAATTGCTGGAGCAGTCAATGAGTATTCTGCCGCAGAGAAGCTATGCTCTGCAATTGTTAATGAAGGATTCTTGTGACCAGAGCAGAGGCCCTCTGAAATTTCAAGGTGAGGCACTATCCTATCCCAGTTCATGAACCACCCTGACTGCTTATAGGATTCTGAACTGTTCATGACCAGCGCAGAGGCCCTCTGAAATTGGCAGAAGAATGTGAGGCACTATCTTATCCCAGTTCATGAACCACCCCTGACTGCTTATAGGATTCTGAACTGTTCATTTGCAGCAATAGCTTGTCAAAAGTTGATCAGCACATGGATGTTCATTCTACATGCAGCAGCAGTGCAGATGACTGCATACAAACAGGATAATGTGCTAGGAATCAATAGTCATTTTGTGACACTATAGAAAGAAACAGATACTGGCTTTAACTGGCTGCAGATGTAACTCACAAAATATAAGGACATTTTTATATACATAGGCTGACATATCTGATCTAACGCAATGCAATCAGGCCCAACCTACATTTAACTATGTCACTAAACGGCCAAAATCCTGTTGCTGAGTTATGGTTGTGGAAGGCAAAAGGATAACTTGTAGCAGCATCTTGTTGGCAATGAATCAGTCTCTAGCTGCAATTTCGATTGTGAGCCAAGCCAACAGGGACTCATGCCCCCAAAAACCCAAGGAGGGATTTATTAATTCTCAATGAGGACCTATCACAAATTATGCCATTTGCCTTCTGCAGGCATAAGAAATCAAAAGGATTTTGGCCAGCATGTAGCTGGAAGGACTATTACCCAGGCCCTCCTGATACCAAAGTTATGCCATGGGTTCTCAAATGGCAAGCCCTACCCTCATCTGTGAGAAACAGATGAATATATGCCTATTACCAATGGACTGCAAGGAGTTGTCTTCGTCAGGTGCCAAGTCACATGTACAAACACCTTGCTGAAATGAAGATTTGTTTAATACCCATGAGGGCTAGGACTAATACTCCTTGGACTGGGTTATGAATTTCCTTGCGGGTTATAAATACAACAAATAAATAAAAATAAAATAAAATTTATCAAAATGCCTGCTGTCTTTCACACTGGTTGACCTCTTTGCCTTTGTAATAACACACATGCCTTTCTATCGCTCTTTTTCTCCCTCTGTATTCTGTACCCGCACTTGCAGTGGGTCGTGAGCTCTCTGGCTCAGGAAAAGCTTTTGCTACACTAAATCAAACACGTAATGTGCTTTTCAACTTTCTTTCAAATGTAACAGAAAAAAAGCCTTTGATTAGTGACAGAATCATAAACTAATGGAGTTGGAAGGTTTTCTAGCAAGTAGCAAACACAACAAACATGGACACGTCTGTGGGAGTTGTATTTTTGACAGTTCCAGTTCACACCAGAGCCAAAACCAAGAAACCAAAACAAAAAAGAACCCAGAAAATTGTGTAGTTAACAAAACCAAACAATTTCCTCTCAATTTATTGGAACAGAGCACATTTTTCTTACTAAAATTGATTCCCCCACCCACTATATTTCATTTAGTTTTCCTTTAGACAGCATAGCAGAATGTTTCACAGAGAATAAGATGGCCATATATCACCTCCCATTTTAGATGTAGGCTCCATGAATTATAAAGGCTCTATAGAAAATGGGGAAAGAGGACGCTATTGTCTTCACTTCTTGTTTGATTATTTCCCAGAGATCATCTGCGGACAACTGCCGGAACAGAACACTGCACTGAAGAGGCCTTTGGTGTAATTCACCTTGTCCTTGTATGTTCTCATTTTGGCAAGAAGTTTATGTGCAAGTCACCACATACAACCGCTGCAAAGGACACAATCCATAACTAACTTGTTTGCCACTTAACAACACTGGGAACTGTTCAAATCAGGCAATGTAATGTAACCATGGAAGTATCAGATTTCTTACTGTTAAGTACATATTACCATTGTTTAGAGTAAAGGGCTCACCCATTCTCTCCTCCTCATCTGTACTGAGTAACGTACTGTAATCAGATAGTTCTCTCCCCTTTATTTTATGGTCTTCTGGAGAACTGTAGAAAACAGAAATTACATTTCTAAATGAAAATTCTTTGTTTACAGCCATTTTGGGAAAAAACATTTATGCAACAGATCAACACTAGAGTGCATGCCCCATTCAGTTCTTTCTGAGACAAAGCTGATCACAATGTTTCAACTATATAAGGGCTTTTCCATGGTTGCAGCTTTCTTTTCTCAGTTTTTTTCTTGGTATCCATTCAGTTTATTTCTTCATAACCCAAAACATGGAATATTTTTTCCTTCGTTTCCATACTACCTCTATGAAACCAGCTACCCACCATGACTGGGTCATCTTTTTCATCTATTTCATGATTAATCACTGCCCTTTCAGACCCCATTAGTATTTTGCCTGCCTAAGTGGAACACTTAGACCAGAATCAGCCAAATCGCATGGGCACAGCAAAGGCAGAGAGAGATGAGTGGACAAATATAAAAGATATATACTCATCCCTTTGTATTTGTGGGTGTCTCCAGATCTCACAAATAGGAAAAGATGAATATCAGATGAATCAGCAATATTCAATGAATATCGCAATTTGTTTTTATATTCATCCCCATGTCTAGTTTCAGCCATGTGTGTCCCTAATACATATCCATTTCCTTCACTTCACAAAGAGAATGGCCAAATGAGCCCCATTTTTGATGCCCTGTTCATCTTCTGAGTAATGTTGTAACTTCAAGCACTTTGACCAGGGAAACACAGCCACCAAGCTAAAGGGTTCTCACAACACTAAATGAGAGGAGCCATTGCCATTCAGGAGTCGATTTGCCTTCTGCCTCCCTAGTGCTACTTTCCTAGGTAACCTCCACTGTATTTCTGATTTTCTTGGGCTTCCCTCACAGGGACAACCTAGAACCACTTTTGATGCCCTGTTCATCTACTGAGTAATGTTGTCACTTCAAGCACTTTGACCAGGGAAACACAACCACCAAGCTGAAGAGTTCTCATAACACATTCAGGAGTCGATTTGCCTTCTGCATCCCTAGTGCTACTTTCCTAGGTAATCTCCACTGTATTTCTGATTTACTTGGGCTTCCCTCACAGGGACAACCTAGAAAATACAGCAAGCATCTCATGAGAGACCATGCTTCCTTAAATAAGGAGACATACCGTACTTGTTTGTCATGGCACATGCTTTCTTGTGTCTCCATATTGCGTATTCCAGAGATCTTTGTCATTAATCTTTCGCACCATAAGACACACTTTTCCCCCACAAAACAGGGGGGCGGAAAGTCTGTGCATCTTATGGAGCAAAGAAAACAGATTATATTTTCCTGTTTTCTTCTCCTAAAAAATTGGTGAGTCTTATGGAAATGTGTGTCTTATGGAGCGAAAAATACGGTACTTGTTTGTCATGGCAAAAAATGCTTTCTTGTGTCTCCATAATGCGTATTCCAGAGATCTTTGTCATTAATCACTTAATTTGCAATTTGTAAACACAGGTTTAATTTTTAAACCTCATTGTCAAGGCATGTGTCTCTGAGCAAATTTTGTTGTGGGCAAAATAACAGGCTAACTAAAGGGAACACAATTTTTGGTGGTTAATTTGCAGCTTGACATACAGCTGACTAGATAGTGAGTTAGGCATCTGGTCATGGAACCAAAGGTTGGGAGTTTGATTCTCTATTTGCCTTTGGGGAGAAGAGTCAGTCTGTGTGGCCTTGGGCAAGCTGCCCAGTCCAAGGATGCCCCCAGAAGGGAAAGGGAATCCACTTCTGAGTACTCTCTACTTAGCAAACCCTGAAAAGTGTTGCCATAGGTCAGAATTGACCTGACGGTGCATGATAATTATTCTTATTATTCTTATGACTTGGAAGCCCCTTAGTCCTCAGTCTGTCCTTTTGTTTTCCAACTTAAGTGCTCTTCTTTTCTCTCAACCAATCAGTCCATGCAGGTGATCTTTTTTTCTTGGCTCATCCGAGTCCTTTTTCTCCTTCTTTTTGATCTTTCCCTTTTCTCATACACTTTCCTGCTGTGCCGTCTTTTTCTGGCTGGCCTTCCTTTCCTCATTGTAGTAGTTGTTCAGCATTCCCCTTGCTCAGTCTCTTCTCCCACCTCACCAGGCAGAAGACCTTTTTCTTTCTCTTTCTTTTCAACTTTCTGAGGAGCTTAGCACATCCAAATAGGAAAACCACAGTCACACCTGTCATGTGGTTTTCCCTACAGTGCGTCTGACCGTATAGAGGTCCAGTGGAGAAATGAATATATCAGGGCTGACTGCAGCTTCCCCTTTGAAATTTAGGGATGTTTGGGTGCTTTTAAGGAGGAAGGCAGAATAAAAATGTAGGCCTTTTCACCTCTATTTTATCTAGAGTAGGAAAAGTATATAATAGCCATTGACAAAGTAATAGCCAATGGTACTGCTACCTTGTGTTTTTCAGGAGCAACAGGCAGTATAAGAGACAGGTAATGAATTCAAGACTTGAATTGTGTATTGAGAAGATGATGTCCCATTGTAATTGAAGAGTATGAAGGACTTCAAGGAGCCTCTGCTGCTCAGAAACGTAACTCGACAGGTAGTACAGGATGGTTCGGTTTAAACTGTTGTACAGGGCATTTATACTTGCTTCCTTGTGGAGAAAATCTTTTTTTGTGACCTGTAAGACAAAATGAAGACGATGAGGATGCACTAGATCTGGATTATACAGCCAGCCTCCATTCCAGATTACCACGGGCATTAGTGAACTGGTACATAATTGACCCACCCTGCTACTTTTTAGATTTGGATAAGCTTTCAAATGCTTATCTGGATGCAAATCTGAATACAGATGCTGCTTGCTCCATTGCTATTGATGTTATGACAGTATAGTTGAATATGCACCCAAATGAAGGCACACTAATTAGGCACTAATTAAGTTTTGAATCTCATCCTTCTCCATTCCATCTGATAGACGCCTAAATGTGGCTCACCTGGGCAAAAGGCCTAGGCTGGAAGGTTTTGTGGCCTAACTAGGCCTAGCTCCCTGTTCAGAAAGGAAGCCCTCAGCGAGCAGCAGAACTACAATGTCTAGGCTGAACAGCAACTCTTACAACAGCTTCTATTGCTATATGATCTAAAACCTAACAAAAGTACAGTTCAAGTTAAGAACAGCAAATAAGTAACCTTCTTACCACTGTCAAGTGTTCTGTGAGGAAGAGTAGGATCCTCATAGGTTCAGCGTCTAACATTCCTGCATAAAGCTTCTCTACCAGCCTCTGGATAAAATAGGAAACATTTACTAGAAAAGGCATGACTGTCTCTGAAGCACTTTGGCCATCACCGTTCCCTGAAAGACAAAAAAGAAGGTTGGTTTCATATAGTGCAACAGATTAGAAAGTGGGTAGGTATGTGGGATCTCTTAGGAATTTATCTTTCTGACGGATTATTTGATGCTATATGATTTGCTTAGAAAATAAGGCCCTCAACAGCTACCATGATTCCTTGAAAATAAGACAAGGTCTTATATTAATTTTTGCTCCAAAAACGCATTAGGGCTTATTTTCAGGGGATGTTTTATTTTACACTCATGTCATCTTCTTCAGGTTGCTACACAATAGTCGAAGGTGGGATTTCACTTTACTGGGGCTTATTTTGGGGGTAGGGCTTATATATGAGCATCCTGAAAAATCCTACTAGGGCTTTTATACCAGATGGGCGGGATATAAATCAAATAAATAAATAAATAAATTTTCGGGACAGGTCTTATTTTCACGGAAATAGGGTATGCACTTTGAGCAACTTTTCTAAGTTAGTGCTGTTCAGAAACTCCTTTCAGTTCTGTTCGTTTAGGTGGTTGATTTATAATAAAAGTCATAAGCTGTTAGATGATTGTTGAAGATAGTGATGGTTTGAGGGCTAAAATAGGATCTCCTCCAAAGAATGACAATGAATTAAAATATTGTAATAAATTAAGTAGGGGGTGTTAGTCTTCGTAGAAACAGAAAAAAATGAATTAATAATATTCTCAAAATGCAAAATTGCTTGGTTTAAAAACATAGGGAGACCTTTCCTCCTCTATGATCTGAAAGACCTATCCTCCTCCTCTCTAAAGCTATCTGAACTAAAAGCCATCACCGTATCTCATGACAACAAACAGAAAACCTCAAGTGATGCATTCCATGAAGTTGCACATCTTCCAATGTGTCCTGAATGTCCTTCCAATCAGTTTCAGCAGGTGGCCTCGAGTACTAATATTATGGGAAAGGCAGAAACGTATTCTGTCAATCTGTTTTCTCCACACCAGCATAATTGTACAGACATATGTTATGGCTCCTCTTTCTTCTAGAATAAAAAGAAACTCAAAATCTTTTGGTAGGATTGGGAAAGACCTTTACCTGAAAACCTAGAGAGCTACTTAGAGGTCAGTGTAGACAATATTGAATTGAACAGTCTATGGATGGGCCAAGTATAGCCTGTGAGTGACATGTAGCCCTCAGTGGCCCAAATGTCACTCACTAAAACTCCTGGGGAGGGGGCTCCAGCCACCTCACATCCTATATTTGTTATTTTTACATTTTAAAAATCTTTTGTTGAAAAAAAATCCCCTTTTGATCTCAAAGGGAACATGGGAGGCAATTTTGCTTGTTTAGGCCTCACAAACACCTTGGCCTCCATCCCAAATATTTGACCTGTTGAAAAAAGCTGACTACTAAAGAATGTGAGGGAGGCTTTTCAGTTTTAAAAAGCCTTTCTAAAAGACTAATGTTTTGGGTGCGGCTGACCCTCCAAAATCTAATTTTGCTCTAATTTTGTTCCTCATAGGTCTGATTGTGAGGCACTTAACTGAGGAATTCAAGCTGTGGGAGAACAAATGGACTATCACAAGAAGATGCATATTCTTTAAGGTCTGATTTTACCTTCTCTTTCTACTACAGTTGTGCCTCACTTGACGAGGATAATCCGTTCCAGCAAAATCGCTGTAGAATGAAATCCTCGTCAAGCAAAAATAAAAAACCCATTGAAATGCATTGAAAAACGGTTCAATGCATTCCAATGGGCTAAATACCTAATCGTCCAGTGAAGATCCTTCATAGGGTGGCCATTTTCCGGTGCCTGTAAAGCGAAAAACACCTCCTAAAAACAGCAGGGACCCATTTTGCACAGCGGGCGGCCATTTTGAAACCTGATGATCAGCTGTTTTCAGATCGTTGTAAGGCGAAGAATCAGTTCCTGAAGCAGGGAACCAATAGTCGTAAAGCGATTTTTTGCCATTGAAACATCGTTTTGCGATCGCAAAAAACTCACCGTCAAGCAGATTTGTCGTTTAACGAGATAATCGTTAAGCGAGCCACCACTGTATTTGTTTTGGGATTAAGAGGTTCTCCAGAGTATGGTTAAGCAAGTTCCTTTTTCTCAAAGGCTTGAAAATCATTACAGATTTATATGTTAAGTGAACATAAATAGGCATCATTGCTTAAGAGTGTGAAAAGTTCCCTCTGGACGAAGCTCAAGATCCACCAAGTCCAACATTCTTCCAAAGACTGCTAAGCTCACTAGCTTGTCCATATGATGGTGGTCTGTGATCCATAGACTCTCTTCTGCCCATCTGTTGAACAGACACAGAGTGCAAGGCAGCCTGAATGCTTGTGCCACTCACCTTTCATGATTCCTCCATCATCTTGGATAGTTATGTGGAATACATCTATAATGCAAAGTAGTAGCTCTGTCTGGAAGTACCTCTTCTGCTCAGTGGTGGAGTTCTCTGCAGATGCCTGCACAGTAATGGTATATAAATGATCACGTTTGCAGAAAATACAATCTTAGCAATGAATCCTGTCCTCTGGTAAACCTCGCCTTTAGTATTGTTTAAAATAATGAGTAAGTGTGGCAAAGAGAATACAAATTTTATAATTTTATTCTACGGCCAAAGACCTGATAAAATACAATATAAATACAGTATAAATGCTTTAGTATTGTTTAAAACAATGAGTAAGTGTGGCATAGAAAATACAAATTTTATAAATTTATTCTACAGCCAAAGGCTTCATAAAATACAATATCAGTACAGTATAAATTCACAATACATCCCTTAATGAGAAGCTTTCTGGAAGATCATTGAACTGGTATACAAAATACCTTTTAGAAGATACAAATAAGTCCATTACAGAACTTGTGGCTAAATTCCTTCTCTCTGCCCAGAAAACTCAAAAAAGAATCCTAATTTTCAACTACTTTTAAACTTTTTAAATTTACTTCGTGAATTTATACTGTACTTATATGGTATTTTATCGGGCCTTTGGCTGTAGAATAGTTGTATTTTCTCGGGCCTTTGGCTGTAGAATAAATTTGTCGTAGATAATACAGCATTAAAACAGGACTCGGGGGAATTTAGGTTCAATTCCCACTCAGCCATAGAAACCCCCTGGTGGGTGGTAGTGGTAAACCACTCAAACATCTCACATGTCTCAAAAGCCCTATGAGGGCCAACCCAAGTCAGAAGTGACTTGACAGCAGATAATATATCACTGTTTAGAAAGCTGGGTGAACCAGAACACTTTGCAATGCTCAGAGTGCAAACAGACCAACAGGATCTCAGGAAGTACATTAAGGAGTAAGAAAACACTCCATTTCTGAACCTGGATCCAAACCCGTTCCTCAATAAAACATCTACACAGTGTTTCTGATAATGCTAGGATTCCCTCACCCAGAACCTCTTCTGCAATCATCATCATCTTAGAACTGCAGAGCTGGAAGGGACTCTGTAGATCATCAAGTCCAGCCCTTACCAAGTAGGGGGAATCAAACTCACAACCTCTCACTCCATAGACAGATACCTAGTCATTGGTCATGTTGCCTGGGGAATCCTTGAAGCTGTAAGTCCAAGTAAGTAACCAAACTGGAAACTCCGTTTGACAGAATAGTGGGGACAGTGGCAAGTGGGTGGGAGAAATTTGAAGTGCCTGCCTTTCCTTCCAATTGTATCTCAAGTCACTTCAAACTATCCTGAAGCCAGTCAGGACTGGCCTTTCTTGACTACCAGACAGGAATACTTTGGATCATATTAGCTGCAAATGCCTTGAGAATCATCCCTGGTTTTTGTGCTAAGAAGCCGGAGGCTCCTGATCCACGCAAGTCATGAAATTCCCTCCTCCTTCATAACCCCACCTTCCTCCAATAAAGAGCACAGCATGGAGAGATAGGTATCTATTTGCTTAAGGCACAATACCTCAAGAAGGAACTCCAGCGGGTGCCACTGTTCATGAGCTGAGCTGAGCAGCAAAGTTTCCATCAGAAGGAGACGTATGAAGTCCCATACTTGCTTCTTTGCAGGATTCAAGAGCAAAGAAGGAGGAAGACCAGCACAGTTCTCATTGCAAGAGGCAACAGCCAGTCCACTGGGAGAACAGCCATTCCAACAGCTCCCCTGCAATAAAAGGAAGGCACTGTTTCAGCAGCTTGTTGGGGTGTAAGTTTACATCCATCCTTCGTTTTCTATGAGAATACATTAATAACAGTATGGAGGAGGAGGAAGTATCACTGTTATCATCATCATCAGAGTTGTCATCATCATCCACCCAAACTGGTTTATAGCATATAGAGAAAAAGTATGATGTAAATGTAAAGCTATAAAAGAAACAAGCAAAAAACAGACAAAATACTGGAGAGAGCTCTCCAAGTGAGAGAAAAAAATCCTGTGTGTAGCCTTCATACCTCCCACTACACTTTGCTGAAATGCCTGGGGTTCTTGTAGCTGGGTAAAATAGGAAATTGTTGCTCTGGGGTCACTTGCCTCCGATTTGAAATAAAAAGCTACCTTTTCTGTTGATCTGTCTAAATACGGAGCCAAACTCTGTGAAGCTGCCACCTCCAAGTCCTTCCCCTTTGGGGCACATACAAGCAGGTCTGCCTACTTCCTCCAAAATGGATCTTGACCAATGCCAATAATGTCTCACACACATAAATGTGTGACAGACAAGGACGCAATATAATGATCCAAAACAGTTGATTTGCTACAGGCAGTTGCAATCAACCTTAAATTATTCTGGTAAAAAAGGTTAGTATTGTTTGTTCTGTATCTCTTCATCCAGGTCAATCAACAACGCCCAAGAGATGGTGGGAAGCTCTCCGCTTGATAGTCCTGTCCCAAGAATCATTCACGTCAACAGACTAGTATGACACTCTTGGCAAATTGGTATAAGTAGTCCAGCAGAGTGGATCTTACCTGGGGTACCTCCAAGGGGAAGACAATCAAGGCCAAAGCTTGGAGGAAATCAGAGTTGTACCAAAGGGGATCCTGGGAGTACATGTGATATACGAGACAGAAGAACTGCATGATGTGCCCCGGGTAGGTGTTCTGCCATGAATCCTCTGTACCTGTGGGAGTCTGGATACCAACATGCAAGTTAGTCAACTTGCTAACATGCAAATGAAAGAACCTTTAATTATATCACTTATCACAACCAATTCACAGCTGTGGCATTTTCTGATCACTTTCTACCAGTTTGAGTTTGAGGTTGTAGTACCAAAATCCTGGAACAAAATACAGCGTGGGCATCCTGCTGCTAATTACACGGGGCACCTCATGGTGTTGATGGACTGCAGATCCCATCAGGCATAGTTGACACAGCCAAAGGTAAGAAATGTCATGAGCTGCAGCCTGCAGCCCAACAATATCTGAAGGGATTTACTTTGCACATGCTAAGTTAGGAAATTAAATTAATTTAACAATTTAATTGTTATAATTGTATTTTTGTGATTTTATCCATGATATAGTGATGTTTTTATCGATGTAAGCCACCCCAAGTAGGCATGGTCTAGAGGGGCGGGGTAAAGATCTAATAAATAAATAAAATAAATAAATGTGGCACAATACAGATATAAATAGATAACAATGCTTTCTTAAACATTAAACATTAATTGAGTTTTAAAATCAACTACATGTATCTTTTTTTAAAAGAATATCTGTAATTAATACAATTTTTATAACCTATACTTAGATTCTCTTTCAAACACAACTACTGATCATTCTCTGAGTTAGGAGACACTGTTACCCAAAAGAGAATAATAGGAAAAATATTCACCCTTAAGAGTTAAACAGTACAATAAGTCATTTGTTACATTAACTACTGTGGGTTTCCTGCATGAGAAATAAACCACCCAGTCATCAGGCTGCTAGTTCATATTATTAAATTGTTTTATACGGTCCTATAAACCCACTCTGAGATCCTGTGATATAGGGTAGATTATAAATGCTTTAGAGGTGGCTGGATAGCTCAGTGGTTTCGCTGCAGAGCCAGAGGTTGAAAATTTGATTTCCCACAGTGGCTCCTGAGAGAAGAGCCAGCCTGAGTGGCTTTGGGCAAGCTGCAGAGTCCCAGGACACCCTCTTCAGAAGGGAATGTATTCTATACATAGAAAACCTTGCAAAGGGTTGCCATAGGTCAGAATTGACTTGATGGCACACTGTTGTTGTTGTTATTCAAAAACACCGGGCACAGTCAACATTATAAAAACATTGACTGGCATTATAAAAAAGATTCAAGTTTTAATCAAAAACCTAAGTATCTGTTAAATATTGGCGCAGTATGTATGCTGTTCCTAATATTGCTGGTTTTTTTGTAGCTTTGAGGGTTTGATTTCTGAAATCTGCAACTGCTTATAGTACTGTATGAAGTTTCTTGATATTGTTCCCAAAGCCCTAGTGACTACAGGGACCACTGAAGTATGTTTCTTCCAGTGGTGAAATGTTTTGATTACCAGGTCTCTGTACTTTGTTAGTTTTTCCAAGTCTTTATTTTCAACCCTGGCATCCTCTAGAACTGCAATATCAATGATCCAGACATTTCTACTTTCTATTACTACTATGTCTGGTGTGTTGCATTCAAGGTGACTATCCATTTGGATCTGGAAATCCCACAAGATCTTGACTTCCACATTTTCTGTCACCTTCTCTACCTGATATTCCCATGGGTTTTTGGAGGCTGGCAAGTTATATTTTTTGCATAATGACCAGTGCACTAATTTTGCCACTGTATCATGTCTAATTTTGTAATCTGTTTGTGCAGTATTTGAACATTCACAGATGAGGTGTGACACAGTTTCATCTTTTTCTTGACAGAGTCAACATTTTCTGTTAACACTAATTCCTTGGATCTTAGCTTTCATCACGTTGGTTTGTAGTGAGCAGCAAAAATCAAACTTTCAGTTTCTTTCTCAACAGTCCCCAGTTTTAGCCATGTCCATGTTGAATTATTATCATGCTTTCCATCAATATTTCTCAGGTGTTGTCCATGTAGTGGTTTATTTTTCCAGCTATTTAATTTATTTTCAAATTGTTGTTTCTTATATTGGGCCTTTCCCCCCTGTTTTCAAAATATTCTCAGTTTTCACAACCTTAAGAAATTTTTCTCAGCTTATAATGATAAAATCATTTAGGCTTCTTTTTCCCTCCTCTAATACCTGCTGTATTTGCAGTAATCCACGGCCTCCGATTTTTCTTGGTAAATATAATCTGTCCACATCACTTTTGGGATATAGTGCATGATGTATGTTTATTAGTTTCTGTGTTTTTCAATCCAGTTCTCCTAATTCATTTTGAGTCCAATCTATTATTCCAGTTGGGTATCTAATTGTTTATGGCTTTGATTGTATTTCCACCATTTAATTTTGATGTTAAGATTTTCTGCAGACTTTTGATATATTCTCTTTCAGTCAGTTCTTTAACTTTTGTGTGCACGATGTCATCTGCTTCTAGTATTTCAAGGCATTTATAATTTTCATCACTTGATAGTGATTTTATAATATTGCCATTTTTAACTCTATTCCATCTTGTTTTGGGATCTTGCTATGGTGTATAGACAGAGCTGCACATTTGTCAGTTCTAAATTTCATTTTGATATCTTTACTAAATACATGCACTGTGTTTATATATCTGTCGAAATTTTTGCACATAGTTTTAGGTCATCCATGTACGAATGATTTGTCCTCCTTGTTCTGAAATATGGTAACCCAATCCACTTTTATTTAAAATTATTGATATGGGGATTAGTGAGATGCTAAACAGCAGTGGTGGCAAAAAATCCCATTGAAATATTCCTCTTTTGATGCTAACTTCTTTAATTTCTTCACCATGGGCTATTAAGTTTTCCATTTTTCCAAGTTTTTCTTGAGAAACTTCTGAATGTTTTTACTAATCCCAAACTTTTTTAGGCAAGTGTTAATCCAGCAGGGTGCCAATGAGTCAAATGCCTTTTTATAGTCTATCCAGGCCATATTAAGGTTTGTTTAGCATTCTTCAGTATCATTTTATCAATAAGCAGCTGACCTTTCATGCCTCTTGACTTTTTAAAGTTTCCTTTCTGTTCATTTGGGTATAGGGAGTCTTAAGTAAAATAATTATATATTGATCTTACAAGTATTCCTGTGAGGAACTTAAACATGTAATTGGTCGATAATTATATTTTGATGATCTTTTATTATCACGGATGTGTGGCATGTTGTCATCCAATCTTCAGTTGTACTGTAATTGATTAAATTGCTCTGCTATATGTTTATGTAGACTTGTTCAATGCTTTAACCAAAATTCGTGCAGCTCATGTGGACCAGATGCACTCCAATTTTTTATATTTTATATTTTATAGCCTTTAGTTGCCTCTTAATCATTTCAGTTATTACAAAATCATCCATTTGTTTTCCTCGAATTTCCTTACAAATGTCCTTAATCCACAAGGCATCTTTGTTATGTCTAGTTGTGCTTTCCCATATTTCTTTTCAAAATTTTAGAGCATCATCTTTTCATGGGCCTATTTCTTTTGCTCTGCATTTTTCCCTAGTGATGTATAGAATAATGGTTAGTTACAGTGGTGCCTCGAATAGCGAGCGCCTCTATTAATGAAAAAAACGAATAGCGATGTGGTTTTCGGGGCATTTTTTCGCTTTGAATAGCGATTTTTCCTATGGGTGATTATCAAATAGTGATCTTTTTCCCCCCATTGAGATGCATTGAATAGGTTTCAATGCATTTCAATTGGGGAACGCGATTCGTGTTCGCTATTTTTAAAGGGTTTAAAATTAAAGTTTCCTGTTTGAAATGTTTGAGATCATAAAGCGCACTGAATAAACCCTTTGTTAACCCAATTTGACCTTGTTCTGACTGTTTGTTAATTTGTTGTTGATTTTTTTCCCATTGAGATGCATTGAATAGGTTTCAATGCATTTCAATTGGGGAACCGAGTTTTGAATAGTGAGGTTTCCTATGGAGATTTTCCATTAACGATGGCAATTTGTTCCAATTGGAACGGATTAGCCGGCTTTCAATGCATTTCAATGGGAAACCTCATTTCGAATAGCGAGGAAATCCAATAGCGATGTTTTTTGCAGAACGCATTAACATCGCTATTCGAGGCACCACTGTATTTTGAAATTGTGTGTTTTCTCTATATTGTTTCAAGCACTCATCATATCTTGCAATTTTCTTTGCTGTAGCTGTTACCTGCTGTTTTAATTCTTCCATAGTTTCAACAATTGTTCTCCTTTCTAAGTCATATATTTTGCATACTCTGGCTTTTACTTTTTCATTTTTAAGCTTTCGGTCTTTCAAGTGCTTTAAGTTATTATGTCTGCATGTAATTTGTTTATTTTTCTTTCCTGTCAAATTTTCCATTTTGGAGTGTCAGGAGTTTTCTGTTTTTTGCAGCTTGTAACCAAATTCCATGGTTATTATGGCAGTTGTGCTATACACAAGCTGGTTTATTTCCTTTAACATGTTGGTTGGGGTTGTTCTGATGACTACATTTGCATAATTCAGTAGATCTTTTACTGGTTTACTTTGTAACTGGAGCAAATTGGGGACCCTTTGTCTTCCTGTGTTTCAGCTTATACAAGTTACTATACTATATATACTGAGTTACTATATTTTCTCTCAGTTCTGTCAACTCATAATTTCTGAGTTGTTCCATATGTTGTTCCTCTATTGATACGTTTTCTTCCAGTGTTGTATCTACCTCTACCCTCCATTTATCTTCCATACTATGGACATGTTCTGTGTTGATTTTTCTTTTGCCACCTTTTCTAGTCCTTGCAATTCCACTTCTGAAACCACTTTGCTCCAGATGATAAACTTTTTCTAGTCCATTAATCATTATTCAATTATGTTACTACTTGGGTGTTTCCTTTTCCAAATATCCATCATTCTCTTTGTAAAACCATAGACTGCTGAGTTTGCCTTTTAATAACATTTCATAATTTTTCACTTTTCAGCAAGAGTCCAAGTTTTGCCTTTACATTGTTCCAGTAGCTTTGCAGCAGCCTGTCCTGGTTCCTCAACAGGGTCTGCTGAGCCCTGTAACACATTTGTCACCAGACGCCATGGGGCTATAGCATCTGGTGTGGTTGTCCTGGGCAACAACCAATCAAGTATGGATTTCTGTTTACTTCCTCTCATCATAATTGATGATTGGTGGACGCAGTTAGTCTGGCTTCTCAGCTGAGACCTGCCTGGCTTGGGAAACCCTTCAGCATAGCTCTCAACCTCACTGAAATGTGCAAGTGCCTCCTCCTCAACAAGGTCTGTGCCCATGGAAGGTGGTTGTGGTGATGGTTGTAGTAGTAGTAGTAGTAATGCAAGGAAGGAAGGTGTGTTGTTTCATCATGATCATCCATAATACATACAGAACACATATATGGTTGTTCCCATCTTTTTTAGTTTGGACTTTAGTGCTTTGTGCAAAAATAGTTATGATTGAAATGTTTTCATTTATTTTGCAATCCAAACAAGGTGGTTTTGGCCAAAAATTCCCTTGGCCTCCATCTATATAATGGGACATAGAGAAAAATGCTCACAAAGTATTTATCCTAAAAAGGAGCAACAAAAGCAAAAAAAAAAAAATCAATTGACAGATAAAAGAAAACTTTATGCATGAAAAGTCATTTTCTCTAAATCAGATGGGAGGGGATTTAACATAGTAAAGAAGAATAAAGACAAATTAGAAAAAGGGTACAGGAAACTTCTGTAGAAAACTTCAAATTCTGAATAGGTCCATATTACTGAAATTAATCAAAAAAATAACACCCTAGACTGAAGGCAGAGCTTAATCAATGGTCTAGGTCAGTGGTTCTTAACCTTTGTTACTCAGATGCTTTTGAACTGCAACTCCCAGAAACCCGTCAGTACAGCTGGTGGTGAAGGCTTCTGGGAGTTGCAGTCCAAAACTCCTGAGTAACCCAAGGTTAAGAACCAGTGGTCTAGGTTGCATTTACTATGGATGAGATATGTGCCGGAAACAAAAACAAGTATCCTTCCCTGCTACAGTATTATTTATTAATTCATATTTCTTGACAGACAAAAATCTGGACACAAACATGGGCAAACCCCATAGCAGTTGGGGTGGAACTTTTGCCCCATCTAGATAAGTCCTCTGGCACTAAGTCAGTTTTGGGTTGTTGTTTTTTCTTGGCTGCCAAGATATTTGGCATGTTGGTGTTTCATACTGAAGGATTCTCCTACCTGCTCCAAGTCACGTCCAGGCTGTGACACACCTAACAGAGCACTCACCTGATTCACTAAGGACTTTATCATCTCTAGCAGAAGAACCCCTGCCTCCAGGCATAATCCAATTCTGGTTACAGCATCTGCATGGTGATTACGAAGCAACCACTGCAACATTGAGTCCAAATTGGTCTGCAGGAGGAGTATACTGTAAGTCTACAGAAAGAAAACTTCCGCCCATGTCCAAAAACACCAACTCTGTACCACTCTGTATTACACATAAATTTTGACTGAATTATTTTGCAGCTAATATGTTGCTGTAGGAGAAAAGGCGGAATAATCCCCTTTTTGCAAATCCTTGAAGTTTCTATATAACCCAGACATGTCCTACACAAAAGTAGCCAACATTACAATTTCAGTACTAATTGTTCTTTTTAAAAAAACCAAAAACAAGTATTTGGAACCAATGTGACTAACCCCTCGAAAGTGGTGAGATCAATAGCTTGGCATAATGACTAACCAGGTCCTTTTCCAGAGTGTCAAAGTGAGACTAGAGAGGTGCCATCACTTGATTGTTACTTTTGGAAGCATTACCTTGGTTTCATCTGGTAGCTTAGTCACTGGGGTGGCTAGAAAGAGCCCAGACAGAAAAAAGTACATTTCAGGGACATGGATCCAGTGGCTCAGGAATGCCTTCAGCTCAGCAAATCCAGACAGTAGATACGGGCTATGCTCAGGGATCTGCTGGTGGCTCTTTAAATTGTCTATATTTAACAAAGCAAACAAATAAGCAAACCTCAAACATCTCAGAAAAAGCCATGGGATTTTTTTTAAAATCTTGCAATGAAGAATAAACCAGTAAAGGAACAATAGGTGATTTTGATCTACAAAGCTCTAGATGGGCTTGGGCCCAGTGTTTCCTCTTCTGCTCTTAAGTGCCTGGCTCGGAGACCTTCACGAGAGATTATCAGGAGAAGCCCTGTCGCAGGATTCACCACCACCCCAAGGTTGGTGAGGAGACAAGAGAAAGTGTCACTTTGATTGTAGAACTCTCTCCTAAGGCGTGTCAGGCTGGCTCCATCAGTGCTGAGCTTCCCCAATGGGAAGGGAGAAGGTTATTGTTCAGAAAAGCCTGTCATTTGAATACTGACAGCTTTTAATTTCCGAGTCAGGTTAAGCCGCTTAATGATATTTGGAAACTGAAAGTTTTCTCCACTCCTCCATAGAGCAAGAGAAAGAGAGAGAATGAGAGAGAAGAAGCAAAGGCTGGCATGTGTGTGTTAATGCCTTGTAGGGCATTCTGTGCTACGTCTTTAAGATATATATGTATTTAGAAAATTGAAAGCTTTCTCTTGGAAGGAGGAGGAGACATAAGGGGAGAAAGCAGGAGGAGGTCATTTTTTCTTTTATTTTTTTTTCTTTGCCTTTAAAGAGAGTGGGCAAATAGGATTGCTTGAGCTACAGTGTGTTTTTGTGACCTAAACCCCCCAGATGCCTGCATATGGATACAAGGATTGCATCAAATGACATATCGTACCTCTATGCAACCTCAGTTAGTTATGTTCTGCCAAATCAGAACTGACTTATAGTGACCCTAGTAGACTTTCAAGGTAAATGAGATACTTGAAGTGTGGTTTTACCAGTTCCACTCCCCCAGTGAGTTTCTGTGGCTGAGCAGTGATTTGAACCCTGGTCTCCAGAGTCCTTGCCCATTGCTCTATCCACTACACCACACTGGGAAATTCTATGGAAACTTAAATGACCACATATATCCCAATCCAGCTCCCATCAATTTGGCCATCTAGCCAAGCCCTTCCTTTGTCTTTTTTCCCATGCACACATGACTGATGGCTCTCTCTTAGCTTCAGACCCTCACTCTGGTATTATCTGGATCTCAGACCTTTGCATCACACTACAATCTACTTGACAATATGTTTAAGACATACTCATCAAAACATTCAGCCCCACTGTGTTGTTTTCAATCCAGAGGCCAGCCATCATTCCTTCTGTGAATGTACGTAAGAGTGCACGGTTCTGCAGGAAGTGGAGTAGCAATCTGACTGCTAACACAGCTGTGCTTGGATGCACGTGGCCTTGTATGAACATCAGGAACCAGTCAGGCCCCAGCGCATGGAATGCTTCTTCCTGGATTCTGTGGGCAGAGCACAAGGTGATAAAAGATTATGTGCAGGTGCTTGGTGACAATTATTGCAAATGGGCCTTTGACCACTTCACCACTGGTTCAGCATCAGGCATCTAGAATAATATACTGTGAGCAGCCACGTTTTTTTCAGATGATTTGAAAACAATTGGAATCTAAGTCCTAACTTTTGTTTGAGTTCATGCTGTAAAAAAAACATGAGAATTTTTTTCCCTTGCCGTAAGAGGGGCAAGATCTCCCCCTCCCCTCTTTTTGAAGGGTGTTGCACCATTTCAAGCTTGACTTTGCAACTGACACAGTGGTTAAACTGCAGTACTGCAATGAAGACTCTGTTCATCACCTGTGTCAGACTGTGGCCCCGGGTAGCAAGCTCTAGGTTGGCTCAGCCTTCCATCCTTCCAAGGTTGGTAAGCTGAGTACCCAGCTCACAGGATGGGGGTGAGGCTCAGAGTCTGCTTTGGAATCTTTTTGTTAACTGTGCAATCCAGAACTCAGTGCTACATTGACAAGAAGTTAATCCCCACCCACCCCTTGGTCCACAGTTCTACTTACTCTGAGGAAAGCTGGAATTTATTTGATTGTATGACATCCAACAACATATTCAGTAACTGGTTTCGTAGCCAGATCATTTTTGTTGATGTCTGGCTTATCCCTAAAAATCAGATAACAGGAAAGAGATGTGCATAACGTACATTAATGACAATCCTCATCCACAGTACATGAATTATGCAAGTAAGTGTAAATTTAGGAAAACATTTTCAAAAGCTGGCAGTTAGAAACACAGCAAATAAGACAAATTTCTGATTTATCAAAGGTGTATATTTTAAGGATCGGTCATCAAATTAACTTAACTTTACAGAGGCTGCTGAAACAGTTGCATACTGCTACCACAACATGCAGTAGTATAGAAAATCTCAGTTTTCCTAGCTGGCTTGGAGTATTTCTGCTTAGGCAAAAGTCTGTCTGAATTGCAGCTGACTCTTCCATAGAAATGCACCATGAATGATTAATCTCAATTTAAAGCCCTTTCAAAGCATTGTTGACATGCTATGCCAGTTAAGAACAATTAAAAAGAAATGGAAAACTTCTTTTTTATTTTCCTTCCAAAGCTGAGTGGCAAGGAAGTTTTCCATTTCTCAAGATTCTTAAGCTAATTAGGCAAAGGGGCAGCTTAAGCCATCTGCTCCTGTTTGATCCCCTGATTACACTCACTGGAACTGAACCAAAATGGTGCAGGCCTACCAACAACAACAACGAACACAACAGCCAAAAAGGTGCAAGTAGACATCAATTAGGTGGAGGCTGGTTCACAATCATATGTATTTTATATGGTCAGTAGGAAAAGGCGTGAATCCACCCATATCCAATCCAAATCAAATCACAGGACACATACCTATCTGACTGCACTCTTTGTCAGAGTATCTAAGACAGAAGGGATCCCCTCAGGATACTTTCCCTAGCAACTCCTACAAATCTGATCTGAACAGATATTTGTCACATCACTGGAGTCAGCAGGGGTCCAAAGCATCAGATGCAGTGGCCTCTTTCTACTCTGACAATATTTAATCAGAAGGCCTCCTCGCCAGTCCTGCTTTCTCTACATTGACTACATGCATTTTTTACAGATCTCATTGTATTTTCTTCCCATCCTCCCCCCCCAACTATTTGTAGGATTTCTCCCATAGTAAAATGTGTACGTACATATTTTTGTTTTTCCCAATGTGCCTATTTCTTATGTATTTCAGCTAAGATATGAACTTATTTATGCATGTCGCCAAATTCACACATCTCCCATCTCTGACTAAAGTATGTGTGTCTGTGTGGTTAAATTGTGCCTGCTTCATCCAATTACATTTGAAAATGTGCCCATAGTTTATCATGCAGTTTATTTCTCTAAAAAAAATTCACAGAAATGTGAATTCTCAGTGGGAAGTGTAGAAAGTTGCAGGAAGTGCGATAACACTATTTTTGCAAACCACACATGCTCTGTGACATAAGCAGGATTTCATGCATCATCAGTACCAACTGAGAGAAATGCATCAGTGCTACCCTTAAGACAAGATAGCTTCCATTCTTACCTCCAATCCACCCATTTCTCATACATTATCCTTGACAAGGCCAGCATTCCCCTACTGTACCATGACAGTTGTGGTACCCATTGAAATCAAGTCCAGTGGTGCCCCTTACCTTCATTAAGTGATTTCATGACATTATCTGGGCAAGTCTGACTCTCATCCACCGATGAAGGACGTAAAGTGTAAACCAAAAATAAGCCAATCCTTTCAAGAATAAAAAAAACCCTGTTACCTACATCATTCATTTTATTATAAATATAACAATGTTCAGAATCTTATAAAACTATTTTAATGAAATGTTCACACATGATAGAGTTTTTTAAAATGCAGCAGACTACTTTGATTCTAAAATTCTAGAAATTGATATGTGCATACGTAAAACTGCATTCTACTTGAAATTTCATCCAAGCTGGAGGAATTTGAAAGCCTTTAAACTCTCCCTCTCTTAGGCACGCTTTCATGAGCTTTCAGAGTTACTTTCTGAGTCTGACTTGGAAAAGCTCTGCTGGCTTCTGGCTTCTGAATTTACATATTCCATGATATTTTGAGGTACAAATGGGGAGAGCTAAAAAATGAAATTTTGTGCAGTTAGGACCAATTAGGTTTACCTTCAAGTTTTTCTGCTTCTGAGCAGTCACAGAAATTAGGGATCAACAATATAAACTGACAGCACTGATATAAGGATAGGAAATGACGCGGAAAGCAGCAGCAATTATGGCTGGTATTATAAAAAGCATTAACTTCTAAAATGAATAAATTCTGGTCAAGACAATCCTTATATATCTTATACAATATGTCTATCTCTGAAACATATTGATCTCCCCACACCACATTTTAATTCTTCTTTATCTTGCCAGTCTCCATCTCAGTAAGAGTACAGTATATACCAATAAAACACACACATCAGGGCTGAAATACAAATTATGTCTGCCCTTTGGTTCGCTGATCAATTAATGGTTGTGTTAACTCCTTAGAGTAACCAACCAAGCAAATTACTAACCATTCGAAAGACCTCAGAAGATGTATGTGTAAGTAAAAAAATCACATTGCAGATTACAGATATTACAGAAGTGCAAATGTACGTATATTACATAAATGTAAATGCATTGAATCTAGGGATATAAATGCACATACTGGTAAATATACAAATATAGCTCAAAAACAGCAACTCTTGTACAGCAGGAAAGTTCAGAAACATAGATGAAATATGACTGTTACCATTGAAACCCAAAGTTAGATTGAATAGATAATATTTTGTAATTCATATTTTCATTACTCTTAGGGTGGAAAACAGCCAGTGCTTCTTGAATACAGTATTTTTTGTGTCAGAAAGAAAGATAACCTAATATTAGAAGTGTAATGAAAAAAATGATATCCGGTGTAGTGAAATGGCTGAAGTGATGGACTGGGACTCAGGAGGCCCAGGTTCAAATCCCCACTCAGATATGGAATTTCACTATAGATGTGGAACTGGTAAAACCACCTTAAATATCTCACTGACCTTGAGAGCCCTATTAGGCTCCAATTTGATGGCACACAGCAACAACAATGATGAATACTAAGATAAAATTGAATCTCACAACTTTCGAGTGCACACATAAGGATATGGGAAAGCAGACATTGCCACCTCAATGTCTCATGTATGTAAAACAAAATAAATAGGATAAAAGAAAACAAAAGCACAAAAAAGCCAACGAAGTCTGTGGCACCTTTAAGAATAATTGACTTATTTTAGTGTAAGCTTTTGTGAATTACTGTGATCTTCCTCAGACACATTTTTGTGTCCGAATTGCAAACCACAGATGTTTGCACTAAACTTCATCTGTTAGTCTTAAAAGGTATGAGTTATGTGCCCCCAAGTCACATCTGAATTATGGCTACCCTATCAGGGTTTTCAAAGTTATATGAGATAAAGAGTAGTTTCATCATTGCCACCTCTCAATGAGTTTTCCATTGTTGGACGGGATATGAACCCAGATCATCTAGAGTCCTTGTCCAACACTTTATCCAATACACCACACACTGGAGCTCCTTAAGACACCACAAGACTTTGCTGAATTGTTTTGTCTTGCTATACATGCTGAAGGAGGCAAACATGGCTGTCTTTGAAAACTGCTATACTACATATGGGTGAAAAGTGTGATCTTACTTCTAGAAACTGCAAATAAAGAGTTGGAAAGTTAGGGCATTGCTTGGGCACAGCCCTAGTTCAGCTCTCATTCAATGGTGCATTTTACCAGATTAATGACAATACCAAAGGAAATCTTTGACGCTGAAGTGGTTCTGAAGCAAATGAGAGAGTACAGCACAAATGCTGCTGACACGAGAGCATGTGATCTCAGGGTCACTGCAGAGAAGAACAAGCTTAGGCACAATCTGTACTTGACGAGCGAGTTTCATATTCCAGCTCCCATCTCTGCAATAGGCAAAAACATCATTAAAAGTCTTTCCTGGAAAAAAAAGAAAGCTAAATCTGTATTTCTCCTACACATTTCTATACTTTGGAACCTTTGACATCTTACGTTGCCTTGGCAACCTTGCTGACAGTCAATTCAAGCAGTAGTTAGTGCCAGCCATGGATGTAATGTGTTGTCAACATTTCACAGCTTGCTTTTCTCACCTTGAGTCACACCCCTTCTCTGATATGTGCCCCACCTCAGAAAGTTCAAACCAAAGTTATTGATTGCTGCAGCTGCACATTGGTCAAAATAAATGTGGTTCTTACAGAAGTCAGTAGCATACATTATATGAATCCCGGAAAGCCTTTTCATTAGAAAGGAATGATATTCACAAACGTGCATTGTGTTTTTGATTTACCAAGCAAGAATGCACAGTTAAGGCCTCTTGGCACTTAAGTCGTCATAACTTGTTTGATTGAGCACTTAAGAACAGGTCTTATGGAATCTTGTCTAGAGCTTGGAAAAATTAGCGTTTTGAACCACAGCTCCTGGAATTCCACAGCCAACGTGGCCACTGACCTTGTCGCTTGGGGGAGACCTGGGAATTGTAGTCCAAAAAACTGATTTTCCAAGCTGTGACTACAAGGTTATAATGTCATACTAAACAGGTCTCCTGGAAAGCATACTTAAGCTGCCACTTTTATTGAGAAGGGAAGGCAAACACATGTAACTCTGGGTTGAACCTTGGATTCTTACTGACAACCAACATCAACACACACATACACATACACACACACACACCAATATTTGCCCATCACATGCTGTTTGGGAAGGCAATTTTAAGTGGGAAACTAGCACAGGACCCTGAGATGGATCAGGATTCCTCTCAGCTGCTCCCCTAAATAAAAGCATCTAGTTCAAACATGCAACATTTGACTTGCAATAATGGCCGCCTCATGTTGCATTCTTTCCAAGAATTAGGGGAGGTGTCTGCTGACGGTTCACTTCTGCTCATTCTTCCTCTTCTGAAAGCTGAAACTTGAAAAGAATTCCATGCTTGCTCTGCCCTTTTAACTACAAACTGTCTGGCAAAAGTGACCAGAGGAGTTGTATGTAGTTGGAGATTTGTGACTACTGATTTCAAACAAATGCTACTGTTTGCCCAAAGCATCTTGACAATCTCAGCTTATTGACCAACTTTGTCCAAAAGAATTACATACCTAGAAGACTGCAGAATTTCTATGAGGTGTGAAAAAAGAGCAAAGTCCAGATTCTCAGGTGCATTACACCAAAACTGAAAATCAAAAAGAAACATCATTTAGAAAAGTTTGATATCATGGCTGAAATCCTGTACGTATATGTAAGCTATATTGTGACTTTAAATTTGGGGAAATTAAATGCTCTCTCCTTCTGCCCATGGCACCCATGGGTGCCATGCAAACGTCTTCATTGTTGGGAACACATGGGGTTTGTGAGACGGGGGGCGTCGTTATATACTGAAAATCACCACTGCTGGAAAGGTAATCTAAGCAGCAGTAATTTAGGATAATGAAAGCCCTCTTGCTCCTGTCCTGTGGCCCCCACAGGTTCCTGACAATAAAAGAGACTACATGGAAACTATGGGCGCTTCAGGATGGAAGGAGGAAGTGTTTAATTTAATAAAAAAAAATTAAACTTATGATGGTATTTACTGCTGGAGTTTTGCAACCTCGCATGCTGCCTCTAGTAGGTGTGGCTGGGAGGGAACTTTATTGGCTAGGATGACTGTCAGTCAGCCTGTCTCTCCAGCACTAACCAATCATTCCTTCCCTACCTTTGAATTCAAAGAGAGTCATGTCTTATTAATAATAACACTTATTAAGAGTTTTGCCCCTCTTCTCCTTTGTCTGTTGGAGGACTGTTGCTGAGAGCAGCCAGTCAGGTTTGCCAGTTTGTTGTTCGATCTGTTCATCTGTAAATAATGAAACCTTTTAAATCTTTCTCATACTAATATCTCAAAGTGAGTTATTGAGACTGTCAGTGCCAGTTCCTGAGAAACAGGGGTTGCCTATTCTGGGGAACTTGAAGTTATTCTGTGAATCCCTGTGCTTCTGCTGCACAGCTATAGGAGTTTAGCCAAAATTCAAGACACTGGCATGAACAAAATCTCAGCGGTTGAATTCTATACATGACTTGAGAGTCATTTTTCACTCCAATTATATATCAACTGCTGTTCTGTGTTTGTCCTTAAAAATGAGTTTCTCTTGCAGAATCTTTAAATGCACTTTTTCAAAAGAATAAGAAAAGGAAGCTCATTTCCATAATATACTCTTTGACTCGTCTGTGTGTGTCTGTATTTTCATCCTTGAGTCCTAGCCTGTCATTCTAGCCATTATACCATACTGGATATCCAAGAAACATTTACCTACTTGCAATTCATGCCTTCTTTAAATAACATCTTAAAGCAATCCATTTAGAAACCCTGCTGTGCTCACAGTAATATTGGCTAAAGGGACAGATTTATGCCTCAGAACAATGCAATTATAAAAATGGTGATGACCTTGGGCCCCTCTTAGGTGCAGAGCACCGCATGAGCAAAGTACAGGCAGTGGCAGTTACGCAAGTGGCCATTTACTTGTAACACAAACGTCTTGCCACTGGATAATCCAGTTATCAGATGGACTGTAACATTTTATCACATGTAAAGTGCTTAAAAATATCTTTAGCTCAAATCAAACCCCTGGATATAGAAATGTACTTCTCTATGAACAGTAATTCAGCCCTTTCATATTGGAGTTCCCGTTTTGAAGTTTCTATGCTTACTGTGGAAGGCTGAAATGTGTCCTTACAGATTTAGGAATATTGTCATTCCTAATGTAACACTTGTGTTTGTGGGTACTTTTATGTAGAGTGGCTTGTTTGCGCTATATAAACTGCAGAGAGATGTTGCTTGCAGATGATAGCTTGCACACATCACTTAGAAGGCAAGCAGACAGTGGACCCCTGATGTTGACGAATACATTGCTGAGCCCTTTCATTGTGCTGCTGGAATAACTATGTTGACAAGAGTTGGTATCTGGGTTGCTGTAGGCTCCGATCCCTGTGCTTGTATCTTTGTTATGTAGAAGCAGCCTCTCTTGAAACATTTCAGGTGTGGAGGATCCTAGACCATTGGGCCATTTCATTTCTTATACACAGAAAACTAGCTTATCAGGACATAGTCTAGGCTAGAATCCTTTCCACTCTTTTTCTATGTAGATGAAAATGTTGGATGGAGGAGCATCCAGTCATAGAAGTCTTTATTTATTCACTGAAATGGTGCACCTAGATACTCCTCTGCTATCTCAGTTTGGCCTCATACGATAACATTTCCACAGAGTCACAATCTCTGTATCCATGGAAGAAAATCCCCCACCCATGAAAAGCAGACTAACATGTTTACCTCAAAGTTGCAGACAATATTTTGGAATACTTCAAAATTCCTGATCGTGATGGAGTCCAGGCTGGTGTCAGCAATTCCGCCAATGGAGAGGGCAAGTTGAAGAATTCTGCTGTTTAACATGTGGGCCTTTCTTTTCAGCAGGTATGCCAGGATCTGTATAGGAGGTTAGTTACTGAGGAATCCCAGAAGCACAACACAAAACAAAGATGGTTCCTTCCAATTTTTTTGTTTTCCCAGACATTACTAAACAAATCAGCTGTTTCCATTCTAGCCACTCCAATTTGCATTCTTCCACCGTACTGATAGTGAATATACCTCGATTATTTGTATTATTTTAATCACTCAGGACTGAGTTCGACCCAGTTTACAATATATGGCACTATGTTTTGAGAAAGTAGTTCATAAATGATCCTCTACATGTTGAAAGGACATCAGGGGAGATTACAGGGAGAGGTAGGCTAATCACCACCCACAGTGGAAACCACTTCCCAAACATTCATGAATTATAAGGTACTGCATAAAGTTCTTCCATGGAAGACAAAAACATGATCAAGCCAGGGTCCTCTCAGAAAATGGTGTATAGAATTTACAACACTCCCTGAAAAGATTTGCTATGGTAATGCCTTGGCTTTGAACCTGAAGCTCAGAAAATCGTAAGACCCCAGATGTCCTTGTGACGAATCCATTCTGAAGTGAAAAACTCCTCCTGCTCTTGACCTCTTTCTAGTAAATATTCCACTTCAAAGCAAAAACTAGAAATGCCATGGTCTGAAACGAAAAGAGGAAGCTCTGGAATAGTAGCCTGTTCTCTTGAGGAATGAATCTGTATTTTGGGGGGAGGGGAACCCTTCAATTACCCCCATCTCAAGGCATTCCCCAGCAGAAAACAGCCACCAGGGAGAATGGCGTCTATGGCCAAATGATCCAGAATAGCAGGGGCAGAAAGAGAATGATTGCTTTAGTATCATACTAAAGTTCTAAGCCTTTGCTCCAGGGCCTATTCACTTTTCTGGATATTCTGTGCAGAAGGAAACAACAGAGAAGGTAATTTAAAGATTCAGGTAAATATACAACACACATGGCCGGGAGTCAGGATGTTGACAGTAAAATCACAGCAAATTTAAAGGCCCACAGTAGCGAAGCCCAAATCAAGTTGAAAGTCTAAGGTAGAACTACCGAATCAATTACTCAGTGGTAAATGAACACTCATGTAATTCCACTTATATAAATTGAATTGATTGAATGAGTCTGTTCTAATTGGACACTTTGAAAATTCAAAGTTACAAGTATGGGATGGAATGTGAAAGCACAGAACCTAACTCTGGATTAAAACAATCCATGTGGATTAAAATATTTAGGTGGGGAAAAAAAGGAATGTGGTAGTTGAAGTCTACTACTGGCGACCCAATCAAGAAGATGCAGATACAACCTTTGTAAAACAAATTGAAAGAATTTCAAACAGACATTATGTAGCAGTAATCAGAGATTTCAATTATCCTCCTGATATCCGTTGGGAGGCAAATTTTGCCAAATATGGCATTTGCAAGGAATTCTTGCTTTGTGTGGCAGATAATTTTCTCCTACAAAAAGCGGAGGAAGAAACTAGAGGATTAGCTATCTTTGACTTGATTCTTGCGGTACCCCACTTGTTACCTCATCCTAGTCTGAGTTGGGCACTCTTCCAGGTAAGCTGAAGTTTTTGAGACACTTGCTTTTTTCTCATAAGGAAGGCTCTTAGGAGAGTTGGGTTTAATTTCACTTATATCATAAGATGTGCTAGGTTCTTCTAATTGCTGTTTTAGAAAAGATTCTACCATCTGAGAAGCAAGTGCAAGGTTGTCAGCTTTTGGTGCCCTGAGGAAGTGGTTGGTCAAGATGGTGGATGTTAAACAAAGTACACTGGACTGAAGTACACAACTGTTTTGAATCCTCCAGTAGCTGTGTTGTCCTTGGAAAGTTAGTGAACAACCCATGATTTTGCAGAAGGGATGCTATTACTTTAGTTATCTTATAATAAGGAAGAAAAACCTTCGGAACACAGCCAAACAGCCCAAAAAACCTACAACCATCAGATCCTGGCCGTGAAAGCCTTCAAGAATACATAGAGTGGACCCTTGACTTACAGACGGCTTGACTTACAGACTTTTTGAGTTACAGACTTCTCTGGCTGCAAAATTTAGGTTTGACTTGCAGACTGAGATTTGACTTACAGACCAGAAAAAAACCAAAATGGAACAAAAATGGCCTGTTACGGGATTAATCGGTTTTCAATGCACTGTAGGTCAATGGAGACTTGACTTACAGACTTTTTGACCTGAGAACCGCCTTCCAATACGGATTAAGTTCTCAAGTCAAGACCCCACGGTATCTTATAATCCTTGCTTACTTTACAGAATTTTTGCAATCATGTTTGATGATGGACAGTGACATAGGTGGCTGAAAGTCAACAAAGGCTACCCCCGTGATTTTCCTGCTTTCAAAGCTTCCTCAATATGTTGCATTAAATGTAGGAATTGTGCTATACAATTATTTCCAGGTCTCACTATTTCCATTAAATGGTTGAGAATAATTCTCACCAAGACTTTTAAAAAATGACAATGCAGTGAGACTGGCCTGAAATGTTGGGGGCTGATGTGTTCTTTATGAGCTTTCAGAATCGCAATTCCTTGTTCTCTTCTCCAAAGTTCTGGAATTCTCAGTCAAGACAATTATTAAAGAAATGAAGGAGCCACACTTTTTTTCACTGTGCCAAAATGTTTTATCTGTTCTATGTGGACATTATCCAAGCCAGCTGTCCTTTCTTTTTTGCAGCAACAAATAGCTTTTTCCAATCCACTTTAAGCTAAATGGCCCTGTAAGGTCACTGGTCTCCAGCTGCTTGCTTCTTTCAAGTTTAAGCTCTGATTTCTTGTAGTGCTGTTCAGATCTGTCATTAACGAGGAGTTGATGGGCGATTTGATTTGCTGAGATGTTAGCATGAATAAAGCCTTTTAGTTGGGTTGTTGTTAATCCACTTTAATAATCTCCAGACCTTTTGATTGTTTCTTGACTTGTTTATTTCTATCCAATTATCTCTTTTAGTCTGAGACCAAATAAATTAATAATCGCTTGGCCAAAATGGTTTCCTCGCACAAGGGATTTTGTTCAAACAGTTCAAACATTTACACCTTTCTCCCCGAACACAAGAGGTACAAACTTCACAAGTGTAGAAATAACTCTACTAGGATGTTCCACATTCACAAAACTGTGTTGAGTCATTAACCCCTAAACAGAAAAAATTATAACCAGCAGAAATGTCTACATGGATGAAAGGAGAGCCTACATCAATCAGAAGGGACATGTTTTCAAATAGACCAATTCAAAGAAGACAAAGACAGTAAAATATTGCTGAAACAGCACAGAAATCAGAGAGGACTACAATGGCATGCCAATGCTGGAAGGTGAGAAGTCTCAGCAAGAAAGAGGTACAGATACAAAGGAATCTGCAAAACCAGAAGGAGCTAACAAGGAAGTGCCAGGACATTAAATCCGTTCAGTTAAAGCCATACCGCCATCATGACCATTGCACCTGACAAGGAAAGATTCCCTGAATTATGGTAAGAAAATGATGGCTTACTTAAAGAAGCTGGCAAGCAGAAAGATGCCACCAGAGGGGAAAAAATGGTTGTTCATAATAAGAACAAGACCTGGAAAGCGACCAAATTATCTTCCAGAAGAAGAAAAAAAAAGGCTTGTGAATTTTCAAGGAGAAATGTGGTGAAAATTATTATTTTTTTCATAATTAGTCAAACACACTGCACTTTTAATGGTACCATGAACAGAATCCTGTTTGTAGATCATTTAGATGCGAAAACAGCTCTCCTGTATGGTGAGACACAAGAAGATACCTATATGCAGCAACCACCTGGACTTCAAATACAGTGGTGCCTCAACTTACGAACTACTTACGACCATTTTGAATTATAACCAGCTCCAGCCGCAAAATTTTGCTTCAACTTGCGGCCGGAGCTTCCAGTTACGAACAGAAAAAGGCAGGGAAAAAAGGTAGGAAATTCAAATTTCTAACTGTAGGTGGCGATGAGGCTGCTTCTTTATAGCTCTTTCGCCCCAGCAGTTAGAGAGTGTGCGATCAGAGAAGGCTGTCTGGTAAGGTACGGTGCTGTTTTCTGCTTTTAAAAAACTGTTCTGGGTGTTTTTGCAGTGTGGTTTTGGGCTAGGGGGGTTATGTTTCTGTGCTGTGATGGGTCTTGGGGAGTTTGTTTGTTTTTTGGGTTTTCTCCCATTTTTGATGGGCCTTGGGGGGTTTGTTTGTTTGTTTTGTTTTCCCCCCATTTCCGATGGGTCTTGGGGGGTTTGGTAGTTTGGGTTTTTTCCCCCATTTCTGATGGGTCTTGCATGCTTCCCTTGCTTTTCCCTCTGTTCTCCGGACTGCCCCTTTGTTCTCTGTGCATTTCCGATCTGCTCTGTTTGTTTTCTGTGCATTTCCGACCTGGTCCCTTTGTTTTCTGTGCATTTCTGAACTGGTCTGCTATGAGGAGGAACCTACCTGTTTGACAAGCCAAAAGCAGTGGTGTTCTCTTGCACGAAGGCAGCATATGTTATCAGTCCCTGAAGCATGGCTATGCCATGGGTATACTATGGTTATGCCAACTATTCTGGACTTAGATATAACTGAACCTGAACCAATGCAGATTCTTGATGGTAATCTAGGATTCAGACAACTTAGACAGGAGCGCATTCATGCACAAAGTACAATGATATGAAGTACCACTGTGAGAGATATGCAAAGCCAAGGACTCCTAGAACTGCAGTACTGTCCAACTGAAAAGATGTCAGTACATTGATCAAGCTATGAAACAAGATGAAACTCACAGACTGAGTGCAAGCTGTGTTGAGAAGGGATGTTGGATGTGACTGGATGCAACTAGAATTCAAATCCCTGTTATCCTTTGTATGTCAAAGGATAAATGATCCTTATTTTCTAAAATGTGATTTCTTTCCCAATGGGGGAAGAGTGCTCTGCTAACCATTTTGATTTTCAGGAACTGAATCAATAGTTTAAATTAGCTTCTGCTTGCAGTTATTTGATCTGACAACAATTTCCACATCTGCATTAACTCTTCAGTTTGTAGGGGCAAGGATGTTATCAAATTGTGCAGCAACTCAGTGTAGGCAATGAAATTCAAGTTCAACTCTATCTGTATTTTTCATAATTTCACATTCAAATGATTCGTTTCTATATTTATACTTCCATCATTTTAATCTTAAGATTATAAATACTGGCAAGTGGGCAGAAATGGTTATGGCTTCAACATCACCTGATATCCATTAACTTGTTTCATTAGATTTTCACTCGTTGCACTGTTGCTGAGAACAGACTGCAAGACTTTTACAGCAGCATACATGGTGTGGTCATCATTGGCCATGGCAAGGAGACCCAGCAGAATGGCGGGGCCTCCGATGTAATTCAGACTGATAGCAGCTGGCCTGGGCTGGAACACTCGAGTCCCTGTTAAAAAAAAACAAAACAAGAAACCACTAATATCTAGGAATCAATTCAAAGCTAAATCCACTGATATAATTGCAAAACTATCAAAATCAGGTAAACAGAAAATACAAATATGCAAAGGGCAAACTATTTTAAATGTTTAATTACTCTTAAATTATTTGACTCTATGCATGCAAACTAATCAGAACCACACAGTTTGGTTCTGATTGTGTCATAAAGTATATGTACACTCATTTACTTGTGATGCTTCTATTCATATTGTCCAGACATTTACACATTTTTCCATCTATGCGGCATCCACTTACAAAAAAATAAGATTGTCACATTATTCTCTTCTAGAATCTTTTGGGCTTTTTTACAGGAGCCAGTCTTTTGGCATTCTTCAGCATCTCCGATTACTGCAGGATTCAGAACCATCATTTGTGCTTACCACTGTATGAGCCTACAATAACTGCTCCAATAGTTCGTAAGGGTCCAGGAAGATTTTCAGCAGTATTGTGTGCCATGAAAATGGGCGTTGCATTGTCTCGAGAAGAGATTCTCAGCTTATATTTAAAAAGAAAGAAAAGAAGCAAGTCTTATGTCACAAGAGACAGTTGAACAGTAAGGACAATTTAGGAAGAACAACAAAAACAAAATCCAAACCCTACATGTTAGATAAGATAAGAGACTTTATCCATCCTTAGAAAGCTTGGATTTTCTGAACATCCAAACGAAATCCAGCAGATTTAAAGACTAGGATTTTGCGAAGGTTTGTAAATGCAGATGCATAACACTAGTATCATTGTCACATGCAAAAAACCCCAGTGGAACTACAGCTCCTGCGAGATCCCATATATTTTCATGGAGTATCAAAATGTTGGGTTGCATTGTGAAACCTGCTGTAGGATCTGAGGCCTCCAGGTCTAAAGACTAACACAAGGGAGATCAAAATATTCCCCTCTCCTTCTCACCCCTGTCCGGCACTACTGGAGCTCCCCAGCATCCTCCTACCACATTTTCAAAATGTGTACCGTATTTCTCTGAAAACTGCTAGCAAAACAAGCAGTTCTGGGCTAGATTAATGTGTGGTCTTTCTCACCAAAAGATAACTGCTCACTCAAGGATATGATTATTGCCATATTCGTGGCATGGATTACCTTCTCTTTATTTATATTGCTGCTGCTGTTTTAATATGCTGAGACATTTGATATTGCCCATCTCTCTGTCATACACACCCACAAAAAGATACTAAGCTGGAAAAAATGTTCGGTGAAAGGGATGGTTTAAATTTTAGAAGTACCGTAACCCTTTTTTCTGTTTTAAAAAAGTTTTGCCTTGGGTTGCTTCCTGCCCATGGAGATTCTGAGTGGCTCCTTGACCCTTTCTCCTGGAGACACTAAGAAAGAAGATAGTCCTAAATATTTTGCACATGCTTTGAGACCTGGATACTCCAGCTCACCTCCAGTATAAAGGGATGCTGGCAGACAGAGCTACTGCTGGCCTCAAGCCCTTTATTATCCTATGTAGAACTCAATTGAGATGTATGTTTGAAATTTAAAGATGTTCAAACCAGAGCCAATTTTTGTGGACCTGAAAATCACTTTAAAGCCTTTATTGTTAAAGAATTTGGTAGATTTTTCTAGCAAAATTAAGTTTTCTTCAGAAGCATTTAGGCACTATGAAACTGAGTATATGCTGCCATACCCCCTCTTAGCAAAGGTCAGCTCTGTGGCTGGTCACGCAGTGCATGCTCCACCTTGTAAAGCATCTCTAATTATCCCATGAAAGAAAATAGCAAATATTCTAACCTCTTTTGCTATTAAGCGTGCATCCACTTCACCATAGCAATCTTTTATCTCTTTAACTGTGGTATAGGATGATCTCATAGCACTGATTCCAAATGAAATCTTCTCTGGTGTTACCAGGGTTGTGGTCTGTACACTGCTTAGGGATCCTCCTTCTAAAATAAGAATGAAATGAAGAACTAGATTACTGTTCATGTGAGGGACTAAAGGAGGCAACAAAATAATCATTTTCATGAGTAACATCTCCCTCTAGTTCCAATCAAATGAACAGAAAGGTCTTGATTGAGGAAGGAACCATTTTTTATTATTAATGAAGATTCCACCTTATTCTTCTCTATCCCAGAAGCATCAGGCAATGCTTTGCCACAGTGGTTCCCAATCTTGGATCCCCAGATGTTTTTGGACTAAAACTCCCAGAAGCCTTCACTACTAGCTGTGCTGGCCAGAATTTCTGGAAGCTGTAGTCCAAGAACATCTGGAGACCCAAAGTTGGGAAGCACTGTGTTACCACATACATCAGAGATCATAAAATATTTGGACTCCCCCCGCCCCCCCAGGGAAGTAGTTTCAAAAGTATCCAGATATGCATTTATTTATATGGAACATCATTTGTGAACTGGATCATGACAACAAACCCTGCAGTTTCACGGCAGTAACAAGAACTGCCGCTAATCATGCTGATGAGTATCCAATGTCTGAGACTAAATTCATCATTATGAGACTATAACTAATGAAAGCTAGAACTCAACCTCACACAAAGTGAAACAGCATTGTGCAAATTGACCCTTCATCACTGTCTTAGAAAAATTTACTACTTTTATTTATGATTCACCTTTTATAAAATATAAAAACTTTGGTTTATTTTTGGTCATATGTCATTACTATACGTCATTTCCAGCTTGTGATGACCCTATGAAATAGTGGCCTTGAAAAGATCCCTTCATTAACCGACTGCTTAAAGCTTGCAAACATAGGGCTGCAGCTTCCTCTACTGATTCCATTGATCTCTTTGGTCTTCCACTTTTCCTGCTGCATTCAATTTTCCCCAGCATGACTGCCTTTTCCACTGAGTCTTGCCTTCTCACGATGTTCCCAAAGTACTGTAGTCTCAGTTTCATGTATAGAGAGAGTTCAGGCTTGACTTGCTCTAGAGTCCACTTACTCATTTTTTTTCCAGCCTATGATATCTGCGAAGTTCTCCAACACCACACAAAAAATCCATTTGTTTTCCTGTGTCTTTTGTTATCCAGCTTTAATAGTCATGCATGCTAACTGGGAATACTATAACATGATCCTCATCTTGGTCTCTAGTGGCACTTCCTTACACTTGAGGATCTTTTAAAGTTCCTTTATAGTGGCCTTCGTAGTATGCAAAATCTTTGGAAATTTAATTTCTACATTGTCAACATTAAAGATATGTTCTATAGCAGTCAGTATGGTGTAGAATAGAACAGAATGCTGAAGTAGGACCCAGGAGCCTGGTTTCAACTCACTACTCAGCCCTCCAAAATCACTGGAAAAGTAAAGCCACTTCATAAACACCTCACATGCCTTGAATATCCAGTTAGAGTTACCATATGTCTGATACGTAGCACACATATTTCTTCTGTAGACCTGATTTTTGTCTTAATATTCAACTGCAGTCTTTTTTCCTTTGCCTTCACCATGAATTGCTTTAACTCATTGCTGCTTGTTGCCAGTAACATGGCACCTGTGTATCTTACATTATTGAAATTTCTTCTGCAAGCTTTCACTCCTTCTTCCTTTGAATCTCATCCAGTTTTCCATAGGATGTATTCTGCATGCAGACTGAACAGAGAAGAGGATAAAATCTAGATTCTTCTGACACTCTTGCCTCTTGGAACCCATTCTGTTTCTCCATATTCTGTTTTAATCATAGCTTCTTTTTCAGAGTATAGGTTATGTATCAAGAAAACCAAATATTGAGGCACACCCATTTCTTTTAGAATGATTCACAGCTTTTCATGATGCACAGAGAGTGATTTTCTTCTGTACTCCTTTGTTACACTCTAGTAACCAAGGTATATGCAATATGATCTCTAGTACTTCTTTCTTTCCAGAATCTAGCTTCAGCATCAGGCATTTCTCACTTCATATAGGGTCACTGTTGCAAAACCTTGAGCATTACTTTGCTAGCATGGAAAATGAATGCAGCTAGTGCTATAGTTACTGCACTCTTGGTATCTCTTTTCTTGTGGACTGGAATGTATGCTGACCATTAATAACTTAAGCATGCACATTTAGAACACCAGTCTTCAGCATACCACTATGCAAAAAGATGTCTCCAAATGTTACACTTTACACCAGAAGGCAGAAAAGCACCAGATATTCAAGATACTCAACTTCACTGACCCTATGCTGTAACTGTGAACTGTAGCTTATGTTAGCAGTATTTCGGCTCTGCATAGTTTTGGCTGTGTGGCTGGAACTATAGATATATACAAACAATGTGTAGATATATATTCACATTTACACATACCACACCCATTTCAGTGCATGGGGATGTGGAGGCCTAAAACTCTCATCCCTGCTTAGTGAGAAATAGGAATTGCTGGGGGTGGAGAGTACAGTAAACATTTCTCCCCTCCTGCAATAATATCAAACCGCAGAGAACCTTGTTTCCCCACCACTAGTAGCAGTGAGGAAACTACCAATTCAAACAGAAGAATTGCTGGAGGTTGGCAAAGGCTTTTGCTTCTCATGTTTCCCAGTGATTCCCTACTCAGACTACCACTTCTCTGTTCTTCTTACTAGGCTTGGCGTTACAGAAAGTGGATGGAGTTTTCCAGGTTTGTTGGCTAATCCAGGAGTATTCAAGAACTGCTAGGTAGCTCAGTGGTTTAGATATATGGCTGTGGAGTCAGAAGTTGGGAGTTCAATTCTTCACTGTGTTTCCTTGACAGGTGCTGGACTTTATATTCCATAGGATTTTTTTCCAGTTCTGCAGTTCTAAGGTGATGATGATGAAGAAGAACTTTATACAGTCCTGAATCACTGTATTCCTTGTTAGGCAAAAATTTGTACTAAACATCTCCAAACGAAATGAGTTCCCTGCCTTTCTTAGATTATGGGGAGATTTAAGGGTTAAGCCACCCAAATTCACTAGGAGTTTTTTTGGTTACATTTTAATAATGAGCTTTGTAAAATCATATTTAATTTGTGCAAATTAAATATGATTTTAAAAATATGATTTGCACATAATGCAAATGAAAGAGAGCACTTATATTTATTTAATATGCATGCTTGAAACCAGCTGCACAGCATCCCATATGAAGTGGTTTATGAATTTATGTAAAAATGCACATTGTGCCCTTCTAGTGTGTGCATCTTATGTAAATAAACTGCACATGTATCCAGTGTGGGTGGGCCATAAGGCCACACAAGCAAATCTCTGCTGAGATACATATGGGGAGGCAGGAGCATGCAAATGAGTAAGAGAGTGATACCCTCGACTGCACAAGACAATGTGCAGACTTGTGGCTGGAAAGCCTTGCCTGTGGGAAGGGCCTCTTATATTCGATGCCCAGAAAAGTGCTGCGTACCAATGGAGTGATAAATGAAAACAATTTTGTTGTTGTTTAGTCATTTAGAAAACAAACACACAAACAAACAAATGGGAAATATGTCCCCCCCCCCGCCTTTCATAGGGAGTGAGGAGATTTAAGCCATCAGTAAGTGTTAAGCCACCCAGCCTCACTGAGAATTTGTTTGTTACATTTTAATAATGAACTTTATGTTATGTTATGAGTCAATGACTCATAAAGAATGCAGATACTTGGTCAGAAGTCTATAGGGCATCAATGGTTCCTTAGAAGGAGCAGTGCAAAAGTGTATAATGTAAAGGTACCATATATAGACGGACGTGGTGGCACTGCGGGCTAAACCGCAGAAGCCTGTGCTGCAGGGTCAGAAGACCAGCAGTTGTAAGATCGAATCCACATGACAGAGTGAGCTCCTGTCACTTTGTCCCAGCTCCTTGCCAACCTAGCAGTTCAAAAGCATGCAAATGCAAGTAGATAAATAGGGACCACCTTGGTGGGAAAGTAACAGCGTTCCGTGTCTAAGTCGCACTGGCCATGTGACCACGGAAGATTGTCGTCGCACAAAACACTGGCTCTATGGCTTGGAAACGGGGATGAGCACCGCCCCCTAGAGTCAAACACGACTGGACAAAAATTGTCAAGGGGAACCTTTACCTTTACCATATATAGAAGTTCTACACAGTTGATCTGCTCTGTATTTGTGTCACACACCTGTGTTCCACAGCAGTAAATGCCAGATATTTCCTTATTGATCTAAATGACATCTGGGATGTTTCATTTGCAGCTACATTCTGTTTTTATTCCTTGTACTTAGCAAACACTCTCACTTCCTAGTCAGGAGAAATCTGTTCCAAATGTCAAGGACAGGCAACAATTTCAGTGATTATGGATTGATACAGCAACAGGTATCATGCCCTTCTAGTGGATACATGTTACACACGGAGTAAGAGTTCCTAGCCCTATCCTTCTATAGTATAGAATCGATACCATTCAGCATCCATTGAAACATTACCTGCTGTTTTCTATGGGGAAAAAGTAGACCCCTACTCATCCATACGGAATCTCCCTTCCTTCTAGGTAGGAACAAAAAGTAGTTGCAGGTACATATTTTACCTCTAAGATCCACAGACTGGAAGTTGCTACAATATCTTGGACCAAGCCTGATAATGAGTTGCAAAATTTCCATGGAGATTACTTCTTCAAATAAATACACAGGACCCTGGCGCCAAGTCAGTGACGACTTCTGTTTCCAGATTGGTGGAGTAGCCACATAGCCATAAACGTCAATGAAGGAAGAGGGGTCCATAGAAACAAAGGTTCCTGGGAGAGGCTGGATATACTGCATCTGCAACAGGGAGAAGAAACTGCTAAATGGCAATTCTATCTCTGCTGAAAACTCAAATAAAGACCAGCAATTGCTACTTCAGCAGAAGGTGGGGCTTGAGGACTCGTGGGGAGCCTCTTGTCTCTACAGTTCTATGGTTCTTTGAGAGAAAACTTAAATGACAGGGAAAGGGGGGGGCACTTAATCATAGGAGCTTCCATCCTGTCTGGGTCATGGGCAACAGTTTAAAGTAAGCTAGAAACAGAGAAACAAGATCCATGGCATGGACCAGGCTCAAAGAATGCCTGAACCAAGTAACAAACCAGGAAGCAGAACCAAAGAATGAGCCAGGAGTCATGTTCAAGGGGCAAGAAGGGAGCAAGAACAAGAAGCAAGAGAAGCGTAACAGAATCTAAATTTCAGTTGCAGAATTGGTAGGCTAATTGCTGATGTGGATGCCCGACTAGCCAAATAACTCTACTCATCATAAATGATGAAAAATGGAAGGGTGCTGGGTTTCTAGGACCACATAGAGGCCACTGATTCAGAACTTCAGAACTCAGCCTTCTGATTTAGCTGCAAAATAAGCCGCTCAGAGTGGTATAGATTTACCAGATGAGCGGGATATAAATCAAATAAATAAATAAATAAATAAACATGAGTGGGCCAGGACAAATTTGAGAATTCCACGTAAAATGGTAACCTGACGAGACACTTAGATGAAGCAGTTAGGACTCAAAAAGCCCAGAGCTTCAGGGCTATCTAAGACAAATGGAATGTATAGAGAGGACCCTTTGTGGTTATGTGCTGCAAGTCACCTCCGACTTATGGCGACACTATGAATGAGCGATGTCCAAAATGTCCTGTCCTCAACAGCCCTGTCCAGGTCTTCTATAAATTTGGTCTTCCTCTTTTCCTGCTGCCTTCAACCTTTCCCAACATGATGGTCTTTTCTAGAGAAGCTAGAGGGAGGACACTAGCTTCTAATATTCTGCCCCCATGTTTCTACAAGTGTTAGAGACCATGGATTGTATATTTCTGAGCCTACTAGCTGTCTTCATCTATGCTCTAGTCCTGGAATTTTGTAGAGGTCATAACACAGCTCATGGTGTGCTCCATTTTCCTTACCCACAGTATGTTAGAAAATTGTGCAGCTGCATAGAATATCAAAATATCAGAAGCCAGTATGGACCATCACTGGAGGGACTTACTTGCCCTTGTTCTCTGCTGGTACCTTAGTTTCAATTGAGCTAGGCAGGCAGAAATATACAGGCAGAAGTTCCTGAAGGAAGTTCCCTCAGACCTTCCCACCAAACTGAGGCTGAAACTACATCTTACAAAGACTTCTGTGACTCTTTCCTTTTTGAGCATATGCTTTCAAATTAGCAAAGCAATGTTATTCCACAGCTGCTCTGTATGTCTGTTCTGCTCCAAGAGTTAAAAACAATTTTACAAGAGCAATTTTGAGCTGAAAAACAATCAGGAAGTCACACAGCTTCTCCCTTTTTGTTCTCACAATAAAAGACAGAACTGACTAGTTAAGATAAGAATAACGGAACTCCACAAAATGTGTAGGCAAAACAATAATGATAGCAATGACAAAAGAAGAATTATATAACAAAATGCTAGTCTCAGAGTTCAGTGTGAAGTTATTACCTTAGCAGAACCAACTTTCTGTCCATCTATATAGGCTGAAACAGTACAATTCCATCTAGTTTCCCTGGCCACAGTTACTGCAAGGTGATGCCACTGCCTAGTTGCTAGCAGGTCAGCACATTCAAACCGGACTTGAGAGAGGACAGAGGACTGATCATGGCCTTTCATTTCAGGTTCCATCATATCTGCAATGACACAAGCGAGGACAACAGATGTTCACAACAAGTACAAATGCATTATATCTTAACTCTGAAAAAGACAGACAGGGCTTCAAGGAAAGAACAAATCTATAAGGAAGTGCCCTTGTTTCCCAAGTGAACGGAGCAGATCGCATGAAAGGCCTTAACTCCCATCAACTTTCAGTAGATAACAGATTTCTGGATGTCTCAGAAGGTTATCCAAAACAGAGATAAATGTGAAGTTCCCTTATTTTGAGTTGTGCTTAGGAATGTGAAGAATTATTTGAAAAAAGGTCTCTCTCTTGATGATTTCCCAAGTCTTAGCACATCAAGACTTTTCACCCAGTCTCCCCACTCCAGCAATATCTCTTGTCTTCCCATGAGAAACAGACCCTGGGCTGGGTTTTCCCTGTTTCTTTTGTTGTTGTTGTTGTTGTTGTTGTTGTTGTTGTTGTTGTTGTTGTTGTTGTTGTTGTTGTTGTTGTTGTTGTTTATTTTTGCCTATAATTTTTTTTGCAAAGAACCTGTCAAATTATGTGCAGCTCAATGTCCTTTCCAGGGAATTCTGTGCAGTTAAAATGCAACAGGAATATAATAATTCTGTGCAGACTGGTGTTTCTTCTGGGACAAAAAAAAATGACCATGAAACATCCAAGAAAACTGGAGGATAAATCTGGATAAGTCTAATTCCAAAGGGGTGGGTGAGTATTTTGTTTGCGTCTCACCGAGAGCAGAAGGCTGAGCCATGGCTGGGTCATTTAAAACAAAACAATTAAGAGTGCAATGACCATCATCTTGCAGTGGCAAATCCAGCCAGGAAAAAAACCCAGGTCTTTCTTTTCCTGACTCTTGCTACATTGTGGGATTCAATTTGTTATGATGTTACATTCTTGCTTTCCATCACATAGTGTTCTGAATTTATGATGATGTTACCTGTCTGTCCTCTCCTCTAGGTTTCAAACCAGAAGCATCCGCTGAAGTAAACAACATCATTTCCTTCCCTTCTCTTCACTCTTTCTTCTTTTGATGGCTTGCTATATACTAGAGGAAGACTGTTAATTCTCTGATGTGTCATGACTCTGCCACCAGTCTCACATCAAGAATATTTCAACACATTAATTGGAAACTGAGGACTCATGTCTATCTAGATCAAAATACTACCTAAATTACAAATGCTATTGCACGTTTGCACAAGGTTTACAGAACTTGCCATGGCCATTTGCAGTTAACTGACAAGATGCCAGGGCCTGCTCACATGTCTGATATACAAGACAGATGTATCCCAGAGTCTCATCAGTTAGCTGCAATTAGCCATGACAAGTCACACAAACCTTATAGGAACATCAATAGGGTTTCTGCCATTATAACAACCGAAGGCTCAACTTTATGTCACAATGCTTTTTTCACAGAGACCACTGACTCTGAATCCTTACCAAGGGTCTGGAATAGCATTTCCTCAGTGGAGATACTTAGGCTTCTATCCATGGGAGAAAAGCTCACCACAAAGCAGACAAATTCTTCCTCTGTCCTTGCCATGTGACGCACCAGAGTAAGGAAACGTAGTGGGTGGGGATTGTGAACAGAACCCATCTTGCTGACTAGAAACCATGAGGAGAAAGTCAGGCCATCCAATGGTGGGAACATCCTGGTGCCTAAAACTAGAAAACAAGAAGTGAGGTAGGTTGTACTGACAGCAATAAGACTGCATCATTTCAGCCACAAGAGAAAGTAAGTTGTTTTGAGGCACAAAAAACAAAGAACAAAAACTGTCTGGTGGAAAAAAGTGAATGCCTAACAAGCATCATCAGAAGAAAGGTGGCTCGGGAATGAAACCATCCAACCAACCAATAAAACACCAGATCCAGATTTGAAAACAAACATTCTCAGTGTGACAAGCACTAGGTAGCATGTCGGTGGGCAGGGAACAATTATTATATGTTTTCTCACCCCCATCCCTACTTCTGTGGGACAATTCGAAATGTAACTTGGGGTGCCACTGAATGGCATGTATTAATGTATACATTAGGACTGCATTGAATCAATGATTGTACTAATACTCAGTAGAAATTGATGATTAACCTGCCTTAAAATGTTTTAGAGAAGTTATCAAATTTTTATTTCAGTGAATGAATCTTTGGTTCATTTCCTGTTTCTAAGAAATTATACCTGTGAACATGAATAGCAAACAAGGATTATGTGTACCAAAACAGATTCTCTCTGTTACTTGAAATAGCTGTCTCTCTGTAAGTGTAAGAACTATGAACTATACTGCAAATCAAAGAATGCAGATAGCTACTAGTATTCTTAATTCAAGTTCACTTCAGAGGAAGAGTCCTGAGGATTTAGGTCTAAGTAAACATGTGTTTTTTTTTCTGAAGCGCTTAGCACAATGATTCAATTTTGAAAAGGGGAGGGAGGGAGAGAGAGACAGAGAGAAAAGTAAGGAGACAATTTGAAACCTGAGAGATATTTGTTTATGAAAAAAAACTAAACAAAGAAAGCTGTGTGGTCATTACACAGTAAAATATATTGGAACATTCATTTATAATATTTCTTCACTACACACAAGATGCATGCTTGAAGAAGGGATTACAATTAATCCATGACGACTTTCCTTAATTCGTTAATTTAGGAATATTTCTTATGGCCACAATACATCTAACGTTGTTTTTCACAGACAAAAATGAAAACCTTGTGGCCCTGTGCCTATAAAAATGGCCAGGAACTTCAATAAACAGAGTGCTGGAAAAATTAAACAAATGTAAGCGGGGCAGGGGTGAATGAGAAAAGTGCACTAATTGTGACAGCAGGCACTTATTTCCTACACAGATGTATTTTTAAGAAGCTTAATTGGGTGGCATGACATCAGCCAAAGAAAAGCCTGCAGCAGCTGCCATTGCCCTCTCTCCAAGTAGCACTCTTTCAACATGACCAGGTCTTTTCCATCAAAGATTCTTTCAGCATATATGGTGAAGAGTAAAGTGAGTGATGCATCATTTTTGTGCTGTCATTCTCTGAACATTGTCCTCCTTTTATTAATAATGTCTATTGCCTAATCCATCAAATCAATTCTTACTCTTACGCTGTCATCAAACAACAGGATCTCTTGTTTTCAGATACATAGTCCTGAAGATGGAAGATGTTTTATTTCGCAGTCATACCTAGGTAATAGTTGCAGACATTTCACCTTGAGATGGTCTGTCTAACCCCCATTTAAAGACAGCTAAACTAGCAGCTAATGTGGCATCAGCACAAATAATCTATTTTGTATTTATCAGGTGGAGAATCTGTAAATGCAGACTAGTAGCATTTAGCTATGCCTCTCAGATTATCAACTGGTAGATCACTATTTTTCTCTCACTCAATCACTCGAGACTCAAGACTTTTAATATTCTAATGGGATATTTTGCTCAGAGTCTGAATGTCTGGTTGGCTGGGAAATTATCTTTACATTTAAATGCTACTTGGGTAGAGGGATGTTGAGATTCCAGTACCAGTTAAAGGACTTATAAATGGCAGGTTCCTTTTGGAACAATAGATGTTCAGAACATTGACTATCAGAGAATTTTTTTCTGCAGGATTTATGTCATTTCCTCCATTAAGGTAGAGAAGACACCATAACCTCTGGAGGAGGCATTATCCATCTCAGAGACCCATGTACATGAACCAGCTGGGATCAGCCAAGGAGGGTCAAACAACAGCACAGGAAGGTCAGACCCTGTAAGGTCAGGCTGCAGCAGATGACACTATTCCCCCCACCTACCCACATCCCTTATTTGTTTTATGTCACCTGTTTCAGTTTAGACTATACTTATGAGAACAAGGACTTGTATCATTACTGGACCTCTACTGTAAGCTGCCTTAGGAGCTTCTTATGTCCAAAAGTTAATGTTTGAATGCAATAAATAAATATTTTATTTATTTATTTATACACATATCAAATAATATTATGAACAGGCAGTAGTTTACAGACTTGAGCAGAGGAGTCCAAGCCAATACAAGACCACACACCCATATGTCCAAATAATTGCATAGTAAAGACTGAGTGAATTGTTTCAGCCCTTCTTATAGTTCAACAAGGGATTTTATGTCTTGGAAACATTTACCTTTTCCAGTTCCTCCTGAGACTGAGTATTCGGCACTGGAACCCAGAATGGTAGCCAAAGAAGAAAGAAACAAGCAGCTGCAAAATATGGGGAAACAAAACAGGATTAGGTGTCTGCATGAAAGCAAACAACAATAGACAGAAACATGGAAAGCTCCCTTACTCTAAGCTAAATCTTTAGTCCGTACAGCCCAGTACTGTCAACTCTTGACTGGCAACAATTTCCTAAGGTTTCAGGCACAATTGTTTCTCACCTGGAAACATCTGCATGCAAATCATGTTCTCTAGCAGTAAGCCATGGCCCCTCCTGAACAGATTAGAAGGGCAGATGGAGTAAGAGCTATGTATTTACCATTTCTATGAAAATCTAGATTTCTATGCAAACCTAAAATGCTGCAGATCCCTACACAAAGATTCTAGTCTGAATTTGAGGGGTCCATGTACTCAACAGGTTTTCACGCACATTATATTTAGGTCCTAGTTATACAAAAATTTAACAGATGGGCCGACTGAGGGGGCTGACCCCAAGGGAGGGCCGTAGGGAAAGAACGAAGGCACCAGCCTTTTCAGTGGTTGTGCCCCTCGTCTGGAATGACCCACCACCAGAAATCCTACTGTCTCCCTCCTTGGTATTTTTAAAAAAGTCTTCCTATAATGTTTCTATTCCGGCAGCCATCTTATGATCTATGAGACCATCAAACTTTTAATATATTCATTGCTACCTGTTTTGTTTGTTTTCAGTTTGTCTAAATCCTTTTTCTTTCATTTAAGTTACTTGATTTTGGAGCACTTTGTTATATCCATGTCCATGTTTTATTGCATTGTGAACTGCCCGGAGTGACCACTGCTCAGATGGGTGGCATAACATTTGAATAAATAATAAATAACAATAACAATTTCCCTCTTCTATTTTGTGACAGGGGCATTTCAATGAACACGTTCTCTACAGTAGAGTTGCCCTATACACGATCTATTACCAGTGTTGTCTCCCTAAAGAAATAATCTGCCTCTAACTTGGCAAGGTGGTAGAAATATGAGGGAGAGAAACGTGATATGACAGTGAAAGTATTTGCTATCCTTATGAATTCAATAGGAAATATATGAAGGAAATGGAGACATATTAGTGCTGTGCTGGGGAGCATAAGGAGAAGCAAGAGCAAGTGTGGTACCCATATCCTTCAAAAGACATATCAAATTCCACAAATGAAGGTGTCAGGCAGGAACTCTGTGGCTGGAGGTTGCGTGGAGTTGTCATAGAAATCAGACTCATGGATGTTTGGAAAGCCATGGCAGAGCTATTGCTTATCCAAGATGTGTCTGAAGCTGAAGGGATTTGATGATCATTTGCAGAACCATTCTGTACAGCTGTTTCTGAACCTATAATAACAATCAGATGATGTTAGCCATATTACTGTAGATCTGAACTCCATCAATCAAGTGACAACTTTGAGAACTGGAAGAAGACAAAAGGTAGTTACAGGAGCCCCAAAGAAGCATTCCGCACCATGAAATAGGACTGTGGTTGTTCTGCGGGACAATTCCAGCAACTATAAATTATGACTATATTGAAAATTACCTGTCTACTTTGACTCAAAATGAAAGGCAGGAAAAGAAGTGTAACCCATAGAGTGTTGCATATTGGCAAACTATTCTTTCAGTTTTAAATGCAATGTAATCTGGGTACTGCTATCAATATAAGAAGGGATCTGCTAGATCAGTACATTTGTTCTAGCACTATAATTCTAGCAAGGGCCAACAAAATACTTCCAAGAAGCCCACAGGCATGTCATGAATGTACCTATTTGGGGTGTGATGTTGAACAAAATGGTGTCTTAATATTTTACTCTGAGCTGAAACCATCAAAAAGTAATCATCCTGAGCAATAAACACCAGTGTTTTTCACACTCAAAATAATTATTGAGAAGGCAATATGAGTCAAGAAATTAATCGTTGTGAGGATTCTCAACTAGACACTTTGAATGAAATCCCCAGCATTGAAAAGAGGCCCCACAAGCAGCTGTGAAGGCCCAGAAATGGGGAGGAACTGATGGAATTAGATCCCTTCTGTAATTTCATCCCATGGCAGAAACAGCAGATGAAATTACAGAAGGGATCTAATTCCATCAAGTTCCATCTACTCATTGTTAGCTGAAGTGCTAAATCAGTGAATCGGTCACTAGAACTAGGTCTCAATAACGTCAAAACTCTAGCAACATACAGAGTTTGGGTACAAGAGCTGGAGAACAAAAAACAAAAAAGGCAACTAAACATTAGAGACATCCAAGATATGAAAAAAACAAAAACAACTCTCATCTGTCTGAAGTTAGTTGCCTTGGACATTTTCTCATTCTTGAAAACGAGCCCACCCTCCCTTCCACAAAAGACCACTTACAGAGTATGTGCCAAATATCAAAACAGGGAGATGAGTTGGGAGCCATCATGGTAAGATGGCTTACAAGGTACGATCAGAAAAGCCCCATATAGTCAGCAGCAAGGAATGAATGACCTATAGTGTTCCCTAATTCAACAATACACCTTTTTCAGAATTTATGACAGGAAATATTGCTAAGTAGAAAATTAGTTAAATAACACACTATGCTTCTTGGGGAACCAAAGGATGTCACAACACTTGGGGGCATCCTGCCAATTGCATCATCTTATACCAAGAGAAGACTCTAGCTCTGAATTCATCAACAGAAGATAAACGCCTTCTAATACCAAGTAATTATTTGCCGTATCTACAAGGACAAAATCAGCATACATTGTGTATATGACCCATCTCACTCACTCTCAGTTTGGGTGATTGGTCACAATATAAATGAAAACAGATGAAATGAATCTATTCACTTTCTCTGTTTCACTTACTCATAATTACTCTTCCTATCAAGGTGACAATGAAGATCTGATTTGCCTTTCATTATTATGAAGGTAATTTGCTCACAAGCATCTCTCTTGCCTCTGATCTTTTTGCAGTAGTCTTGCTAGTTCAGCTCCATATATTCTATCATAGTACAACACTGTGCACCAGTCCCTTATTTGTAACTCCCTGTGCATATTATTTTGGAACTGGCTGGCCATTTTCTATTTTTTGGGGAAATCTGGATTTTGGTTATTTTTCTTTTAGCCCAGAGAAAAGAGGGGGGGGGAGAGATGTGCCCTGTCTCATTCCTTCCCTTAGGAAAAAAAAGTCATCGATCTGGCTGGTTCTTGGGTAAAGGATTTGAAAACACCCTTTCTTACAGTTTATATCTGTGTTCTTTTAAATATGTGTTATGGAGCTACATCCCCACACTTCTACCTTCAGAGAAGAAAAAGGGGAAGAGAGAGGAAAGGGGGCTAACAAAGGAGGAACAGGAGGGAAGAAACAGACTCAAAAACTCCAAGGCATGGTGCATGTGTGGGGGGAGACAGTGGCAGATTCAAAGCATACCCTCCCCACTGTTTGCTCAGTGTTAAAGGAGAAGCATGCATGATTGCATTTCTCCACCCTTATTGAGTGTGACCACATGGGTTTTGTTGAGGCTACATGGTTTTGTTAAAGTTCTAGGTTCCTTGTTAATCCAGATATTCCATTAAGTTACGAAATAAATCAACCATCCACAAGTATATGGAACATCTCAGACATGTAAGCTGGAACTGACAAAGTCAGTTCAGTGAGGTATGAAGATGGTAAGGTCCTGGCAAAAACTAAGCTCACACTGATCCAATGATGATACTAAGAATAATCACTTTCCATATACATGCTCTAATGGAAAACGACTTCATCAAGTTTTGGTATTAACCGCTGATGAGAAACATTGGCTGAAATCCAGCACTGTAGTGTCATCTACCACGGTAGTTTTTGAGAAATTAATTTTTCTGTTCCCCTCCCCTGTCTGCTTTCCTCCTAATCAAGGGAGTCAAGAGGGCCTAGAAGGAGGGGAATACTAAGGTATTAAGAGTTCTAAGAAGAAGACCAAATTATAGTTCTCACAAATTACATTTTGTAAACCAAAGACTTTACAAATGTAATAATAAAAACCCAAAATGTTCACCGAATTACATTAGGATTTTTTTTAAAAGCCAAATTATTAAAAAGAAATGTGGAGAGATAATTTATGAAATATTCTAAATTAATGGCTGAAATACTATTCTGTAAAGTATGCCAGGTAAGGCTGGTGATGTAATCAGATGTAGCAATTTTTCAGAAATAAAAAAGTCCTATTCCCCTGAAGATCCTGAAACTGTCATGGAATCCTTTTCATTGTGGGGAAACCACTGAGGGCCACGGGACAGGTGATTAAAGACTCTCCCAATCCCATTGTCCCGAGAGGCTTCTCCATGATAAATTGTATTCTATGGGGTCCTCAGGAATTTTGGCAGGGGGAATAGGAATTTTTTTATCATCATTACGTTATATAGTATAGCTGTGCAAAAGGGACATCGGCCAATTAATTATTTGAAGCTTCTTTAAATCTCTTAAACAAACTACAGGTTGTTTGGTTATTAAATAAAGTTGATTTCAAGACAATAACGAATGAGCACCAAATTGTTTTGAATCAACAGATATCAAAACAGGAATCCAGGTCAGTGATAAAGAGAATGCAATTCAATAAATCAACCGGCCTTGATGGGTTTCATGGTAGATTTTATAAGACTTTCACTGATCTTCTTAAACCAATTTAACTCAGTTTTAGAAGGGGCTAATTGTCTCTCTCCTTGCCAATTAGCCAGAATTCTGCTGACCCTGAAACCAGAAAAAGTTGCAGAAGAAATATATACGTATTGCCCTATTAATTTAATTAATCAAGCCTCAAAAACTTTTCTCAAGTTGAAGGAAGCTACAGGTAATTATATGGATAAAGATCAACATGGAATAATTAGCTGACATATAACTGATGCAGTAAATAATTTATTCAATGTAATTTACTATAGCACTAAATTTAAAATAAACTCATTTGCTATAGTATCACTTGATGCATCTAAAGCATTCAACAATAAATTAAAATGGAGAGTCTAAGAGGTATGTGAAAAACATTATTTAGGACCTCATTTTCTTAATGATATGAGTCTGTTACACATAAATTATATTACGTAGTCTGGTAAGAATGTTTTCAACTCACCACCTATACCAATTTGGCAGGCAACAAAACAGAACATCTTCTACCACTCCTTCTTTACTATACTAGTTCTTGTTCCCCAGTCTGGCTATTGATGGCTATAGGTGAACTAAAATGGACGGGAATGGGAGAATTCAATTCAGACGATTATCCTATCTACTATTGTGGGCAAGCATCCCGTAGAAGAAACGGAGTAGCCCCCTCATAGTCAACAAAAGAGTGGGAAAAGCTGTACTGGGATACAATCTCAAAATTGATAGAATGATTTCAATAGGAATCCAAGGCAGACCTTTCAACATCGCAGTAATCCAAGTTTATGCACCAACCACTGATGCTGAAGAGGCTGAAACCGACCAATTCTATGAAGACTTACAACACCTTCTAGAACTGACACCAAAGAAAGATGTTCTTCTCATTATAGGGGAATGGAATGCTAAAGTAGGGAGTCAAGAGATAAAAAGAACAACAGGAAAGTTTGGCCTTGGAGTTCAAAATGAAGCAGGGCAAAGGCTAATAGAGTTTTGTCAAGAGAACAAGCTGGTCATCACAAACACTCTTTTTCCAACAACACAAGAGGCGACTCTACACATGGACATCACCAGATGGGCAATACCAAAATCAGATTGATTATGTTCTCTGCAGCCAAAGATAGAGAAGTTCTATACAGGCAGCAAAAACAAGACCTGGAGCTGATTGTGGCTCTGATCATCAGCTTCTTATAGCAAAATTCAAGCTTAAACTGAAGAAACTAGGAAAAACCACTGGACTTGTCAGGGTAGGGGAATTAGAGACCAAATTGCTAACATGTGCCGAATTATGGAGAAAGCCAGAGAGTTCCAGAAAAACATATACGTCTGCTTCATTAACTACACAAAAGCCTTTGACTGTGTCGACCACAGCAAACTATGGCAAGTTCTTAAATAAATGGGAGTGCCT